CCAGAAAAAATATTTATTTGTGTAACAACTTGTTGTCCATTTCCCGTACTATGGTCATGGTCCGCTTTATCTTTGCAAGATGGACACAAGATGAACCTGTACCGATCCTTCCGAGAGAAAGCTCACGTTTCTCGTTTATTCCCGGCTCTTACGGCTTTCCCTTTCTTTCAACGTCCGGTTCGTGATGAATCGCCCCCCGCCCCCACTTACATTTTTTCTACTCTCGGTATGTGTACGTGTTCCATCTTTTTTCGTCTCTCACTCTTTCGTACAAAAGTACAGCAGATCAGAGAGGGACGCTTGAGAAATGGCATCGCGTTCCCGTGAAATTGAGTGCACTTTGTTAACACGTGGGCACTTATGTTTAGGTTCACGCAGAAACACCTGTTACCTATTAAATGTACCCACCACCTATACACAGCGAGGCTTTTCTTGCTTCGTGATTATTATTAACAACATTTGAGGTGATTACGAGCGGTGAGCTTTTTTTTCATTTTTTTTTATAAGCTCATAAGCTCGAGCATTCATCGATTCGATACTTTTTTTATGCTCGGGCCTTTGAAAGACCTTGAATTGCATCAACGAGTCAACGCTTTATAAAATTAGAACCGAATGGCTTGTTTCACCTGTTGCTGTACGTGTACAATAAAAGGTCGGAAATTCATTACCTGTTTCGAAGCAAGAATTGCAGCTTAACCGACAGACTATGCTAGCTGTCACTTTTTTTTCCAAAAAATTCGATTTGGCATACCATTTGTATCCAGAGAGAACAGTTTTTCCGGGTTATTTATTTCCGTTTCGAGCCAAGTCGATGAAAATGTTCGCTACTTTAACTGAAAGAACCACCATTACTCAGAGCAAGAGCTTTTGTGGAAAAATGTGTACGTGGTGCTCCCAAGAAATATAAACGTACCTCCTTTTCACGCATGATCTTGGAGCTGAAAAAAATGTATGTACAAATGTACGAAAGAACGATTCGGTTTTACTTGCGCACTGGCTTCGATCCAAACTCCTTGCCCGTACATAATGACTGATGTCATTGCAAAAGTGACGAGTCGACTTGCCACGCGCCACTGCGTGTTTTGAGGCCAACCTCGAATATTCCGTTTGGAATACTCTATTAATATGTAATATCGCGATGAAAATGGGGTGAGGAGCAAAGGTAAGCAATGAGGATGAAAAATACGACCAGTGTTTATAAGAGAACAAAACAAGCGCCGGGACGGTTTAACAAGTATTGCGCGTCTGCAACTTATCGAAGCAGATGATAAGAACTTTCTGCGTAAAATGTGTATATTCGAGCGGATGGAAATGAAACTTGTGTGTACACGCGCAGATATGAGAAAAACGTTTCGAGACATTTTTGTGGGTTGGGGGAGGAAAAAAGTTCTTCTCACAAATCAAGCGGGTGGAAGAAATTAATCTCAACGCAGGGGCTCAAAGTGGAAATCAATAAAATCCCGGTGTATGGCGTTTTCCACAGCTGCGCAAAACTCGATGCTGAAAAATAAAAATTCGGCCGGAGCCGCTCCAGTTGTCGATAAATAATAAATTAACGCGCTTCGTGAATTCGATCGTAGACGCGCGCGGTAAATCGATAACTATCCACATCGTCGTCGTCATAATTAAAGTGCTCGAATTTCCCCACCCGAAACTAATTAGGCTGTATGAATCACCGTGAAATATATATGTATATGTTCACGCAAGGTATTATAATTCAAGCAAAATTACCCGTCGTCGCGAGCTAGGATCAATCACCGGGACATCGATCATCTCAGCAGAAACGGGACGGTTTTACCCATTAATATCTCTCGAGTGTATACAGGTATGCATATATATGTATATATTATATCGGCGCTAGAGGCACGATAGCCGTTTGAAACAAATTCATCGTCATTGGAGCTGTGCAGAGAGCTTTGTATTCCGGAAATGTGTATACCCTTTTGTTCGAGCTAACATCCATGCAAATACATATCTAGCTACGATGTAACTTTCGCCGTTGCTTTTGTTTACGGACTCCACAGCACATTTTGTATTTCTTTTCCCTGAAAGAGAATAAATTGGTTTCAAATCTACGTGCACAAGCCTTGCGACGGGATGGAGCATACATAATAACATCCAAGGCTCGACCTCGGTAGCAGGAGAGTCTTGTGTAGTGGCTCTTTAAATTTCCAGTCCCTTCGCTTTCGTATGCATAAGCTTTTGGTGTAAGAAAATGGGAAAACTTCCCCGGACTTTTTCAGATGAAGCTGTAATCGTTTTATCAAAGATTCACTCGAAGAAGATACCCGAAAGTACTTATTTACCCGGTGGCTGACCGTACACGGACTCGTACTACTTGGCGCGTGCGGGAGAGCCCAAAAATCCTTGATAAAAAACCATCCACCCCCTACGAATCCTCTCGATCGGTTTGGTTATCATCACTGTCAAGGTGGGGTGTTTCTTTTTCACGCACTTCGGTCGTGTTCAAGTATACATCTACAATCTACACGTAACAAGGCTACGTAGAATTTTTGATCCAAAAGAGGTAGATATTATATTTTAGTGAAATTAGGGCAGGTGTCAGTTTAATTATGGCAGTAAAAGTATTAGACACTTTTTTAAATATAAATGACATTCAATAAAAGTTACGTGTACATCATGCATATTGTTGATTGTCGAAATTTTGTGAAATATCGAGCAAAACCAGATTTTGTTCAATAGATCCAGTAAAAAATAGATTAAAAGCCAAATTAAAGCAACCATGGTAATTTTTCACACCATCAGTCGAACAATGACGCACACACCTCACCATTACGTAAACGTCAGACTCATTAACTCGTACACTTATATTTGTACCCTCCTCGCGTCCATCCGTCTGATTAAAACGCCCATTGAGCGCTTACATCGAATTGCCACGTAATATATTATTTTCCAGCCCCATATGCTCTCTGTGCACGTGCACGGTGATTTTGACACTGACGCCCGTGTGCACGGGTGCACTTCCGTACACCAAGGTATATTTGCAAACTAATTTTCCGCCCAGCCTCGTCGGTCAACCGAGAAAATCCCTTTGCGCGCACATTCGCTGTGGCGTTACATTATTGATGCGAATGTTCTCTCGTTTCCATCGGTATATATGTGGCCGTTGGGATCGAGTCGAGTGACGTTATTCCCGGGCGACGGGCCATCGCAAAGTTACCGGGCTCCAAGCGATTCAGGCTCAAAGTTTGAACGCGAGTATTTGATGCTACTTACGTTCGGATGAATTTACGTTACGACGGTTAAACCATCTATTTTATCCGCAATCGATGGTACATGGAAATAAAATTTTTTTTAAATCCGTCAAGTTTATACGGCTTCCTCGCTCGAGAACATTTTCTTTTCTCATATCACGTCGCGCGAAAGTTGCGCAATTTTCAGCTCGGGATACCGAGAAACTCTCACGCATCCACTTGGCGAAAGTGTGCATGTGAATGCCTCCGGCAGCTCCTTCCGAGAGCTATGCGCTTTCTTTTATGCTCCCTCTTTTTTTTTTTTTTTTGTCACTTTTTAAAACTACGATACTCCACCCACTCGAATAGAATCGCTCGAGGTGTACCCGTTGTGCGCGAGTTTGCGCATATACATCATATCCACTCGGAAACCCTGACCACTCCTGGATAAAATTTGCTCCTTTTTATTCTACTTGGTTTAATCTTCCCTTTATATATATATACCCCCTTCGCTCCGATGGAACCAAAGAAAATCCGACCTCGCGCGCTTATGGGATACGCGAATATTTACCTACCCTGTGGAACTGGAGCTCCGAGGCTTGTGAGAGAAAGGAGCATATCGCTCGAGGTCTTATACGCAAACGAAAAAAAGAAAGAAGGTCTATAGGTGTATACCTACGTGCATCGGTTGACGCGTGGCGCATTATTTGCTTTTGTTTTCTCGCGCCAAACACCGAATTCCACTTAAGAAGCTCCATCATATGTATGTATGCGTCCCATAATCGTATATATTGCACGCGTACGTATTTATGTACTACAGGTGCACTAAATAAAAAAAAGGATACTTTACACACGCGCGTGTATACCAACGAGTTTCCATTAAGACCATCGAAATAAAATATTTTTCTCTGATTTTCGATCTGTTTTCCTCCTGTTTCTCTTTTTAATCAAGATGACTCTAATGGATTGGCTTGTGGGATTTCATCAAAAAGATTTTTTTTTTTTCTTTGCACCTTTTTTGTTTTTGTTGTTTGATTACAGAGAGGCTTTTTTCCACCCGAATGATAAAGCTTCGAAGATGCAAGGTTTTGATTTTCATCCTCCGTACAGATGGTTTAATTTGTCAAGTAGTCGCGACTGAGTAATGGACAACGACTCGCAAAATTTTCACTTGACAAGCCGTCGGAGCACATTTTAATAACGAGCAATTATGAAACTTTATGCCTTACTCTCGCGCAAAAGTTTCTTCTTAAAAGCATTAGCTTACTCATTTTTTCCTTTTTTTTTATCCGACGAATGTATAACATTGTTTAGAGAAGAAACTTTTTTTTAACAACACTCAGCTTTTAACAACACGGTGAAAACACTCAACCGTATGAAAAAAAAAAAAAAAAAAAAAAAAAAACAAAAAAACAAAAAAACAAAAAAAAAGAAAATCGCAATGAAACATTATTAGACGAGTTTGTTGAAATAAAGTATAACTCTTTGTTGGTTCTTTTGGATGCTGCCCCGCGATTACAGAAACCGGTAAGTTTTGACACGACTCAAGCTTACACGCCTACAATTTTCCATCAACGTAGAGGATGTATTGAATTTACAATTGAGCAGTAGATTTTTATTATTTATCAGCTTCCCGAATGTAATTGCTCTGTATATCGTTGATGAATCATATGACTATATATACAGTTCAGTTGTGTGTTATTTTGATACTCGATATAATTATGCCAGAACCAGCATGTAATACGTAATGTTTGTATTTTTCATAATTTGCGGCAAGCTTTGCAGTTTTTTTGGTTAAGTATAAATATGAAGCTCAAAGTGTAGCATATTAGCTCGTGAAAAGAAAAAAAAAAAAAACAGACAGTAACTCTCGAAATAATTAATTAGTTCAAACTCAATAAATATGACCCGTGTACGCTAATCTAGAAATATGACGTGTGTCCCCAGACCGACCACGACCCGCGCAACCCAGCCTACATAGCAACGCAAGGCCCATTGCCCCAGACGACGGCCGATTTTTGGCAACTGGTTTGGGAGCAGGGCAGCGTAGTCATAGTGATGCTGAGCCGACTGACCGAGGAGGGCCAGGCCATGTGCCACCGCTACTGGCCCGACGAGGGTTCCGAGATCTACCACATCTACGAGATCCACATAGTCTCCGAGCACATCTGGTGCGACGACTACCTCGTGCGCTCGTTCTATCTCAAGAATCTGCGCACCAGCGAGACCCGCACCGTCACCCAGTTCCACTTCCTCTCCTGGCCCAACAACAGCGTGCCCAAGTCCACCAAGACTCTCCTCGAGTTCAGGCGCAAAGTCAACAAGTCGTACCGTGGCAGGTCCTGTCCCATCATTGTCCACTGCAGGTAACTGCTCGTACCGATTTTTCTCCACTCACGGCTGACCAAACACGATTTGTACTACTTCTAGAGGCACCCTCCCAATCAAAATAAAATAAAACAAATGTCATTCACAGCGACGGAGCGGGTCGTACCGGCACCTATTGCCTGATCGACATGCTGCTCAACCGCATGTCCAAAGGAGCCAAGGACATCGACTTGGCCACGACTCTCGAGCACATACGCGACCAGCGGCCGGGGATGGTCGCCACCAAGCAGCAGTTTGAGTTCGTCCTCATGGCGGTGGCCGAAGAGGTGCACGCCATCCTGAAAACCTTGCCCGCCGTAGCCGCTGCTGACGACAAATCAACCGCTGTTGCTACTGCTGCTACTGACAAACAGCCCACCAAGTCCGATAAGTAACTTTCCTTCCCTATGTATACCAATTCACCGTTCTCTTATTACTTTTTTTTTTTTTTTTTTTTTTTTTTTGTTGTCCCTTGAATTATCGGATATAACGTGTATACCTCAAACTCGGTTGGCTATTATTTCGACTCCGTACGCCCATTGTATCGACGAGATAGGACTGATCGATCTCAAACAATTTATGGAACTATCATATTAGACTGTTTTAGTACGGGGTATGAGTATAGGCTTTTGCTTGACTTTTTGCATGGGAGGACGCATATTTTATCATGTGTACATGTATTTTATATGTATATGTATATCTTGTGGTGACGAGGCAAAATGTGTACAAGTCATTCGGTCGATAAACATTCAAAAATGTACGTAAAAAAGGAAAAAAGAATATCAATATGTTTTTTTTTTCTCTATTATTATTTTTATTTGCACGCTTGGTGCGTGCGTCAAAGCGATTTTTAATTTTCATCGATGAATGTATAAAATGGAGGTATACAGTAATTTATCGTGTAAAATTGATGTCAGTGATGCACATCATCTCTCTGTGTGTGTACACTACTTGCATGTCGGCCTATAATTGTAAGGACATATATACAAAAATTAAGGAATCAACAAGATCGAGACTCGCAACTTTTTGTGCATTAGAAAATCATTATACCTATACGCTGAAATTCACGTACTTTTATTCGCTCTGATTATTGCATCCTATCGATTAATTCACGATTTATTTTTTACTGTGAGAAAAATAAAGAAAGAGAAACTAGACTCATCGAAAACAATGTGTTACTGAATGAGACATAAAACAAAGAATGCCTAGACGTTTAATTGACGAACTTGCAGGAGAATTCATCGATTTTTGGCTAAACACGTTTAAAGGATATATTACTCATGTACTCCGAGTAACGAGAATCATGATCACGCTGCACAACTTATGTAATATGCGTATGTGTGTACTATACTCGGTGCAATTATTAATCACGTAAGAGTGTACGGTACTATTTCCTATTTTTTTCCTTCGTAAGAGCAGAGATTTACTATTTTTTCCCGTTACTTGTACGTTTGGGAGAATTAGAACGGAGGTAAACTTTAAAACTATATAAACTGTGTATCATGTGCTGAAAGTATTCCAAGTCATTATTTCATTGATCTATTATTGATAAACAATAATAATATGTAACAACATACAATGGTGTATAATGTGTCCATGCATAAGTATATATAATCTATAAGCGAGAGGACCATGAGACATGTAACAACTATACCTTTCTACGATACGAATTTTTCAATTAGTAGTGTCCTCAGCTTATTTCTTTTTTTATATAGTTACAGAAATTGTATGAATTTTTTATATTTTTTGAGACACTCAAGTTATCTCGTAAAATTAAATTATTATAAGTACATTAAGAGTAACTATATATTTTTGTGTTGAATTTAAATGTATTATATTTGTGACAGTTTAAATCATGGTCCATATTCCTAACATAAATTATAGACAAATGCGTCTGACTGATGTAATTTATTCATGTTCGAGAAATAAAGAGTTATAAAAAAATTAAAAAAAAAAAAAAAGAAAAAAACTAAAGCTGAAAGACTTACTTATATGAGACGTCGGATGATACAAACGAATGTCAGCCTTGTGGTGACAGCCTTCCACTTGACTGTCTTGCTTTTTATGTAACAAAGGTAAAACTTGTAGATTATTGTGCAGAATGATCAGCTATGACTGATTTTAGAAAAGGAAATCAATTAATTTTTAATTCATCGTTACATTAAGAAAGTGTCTTAGTCGTTGGAAAAAAAAAAAAAAAAAAAAAAAAAAAAAAAAAAGAAAACTTCATTGCAACTACTACATACATTTCTTACTGCATGTTAAAAACACACACACATGCACGAACGTATGAAATGATTGTGGGAAAACGTCGATTAATTTCTTCTCAAAACTTTTTTGTTACTATTGTCTGCAAGCTTTTGAAAAAACTTAAAGATTGTAATAAAATGGCTAGTCCTTCCTTCCTGACAATTTTGTGATACAATTTTAACAAAAGGTATGTATTTATTTATCAGCGATTAAGTATCCTTATGATAGATCTTAAATATCTTGAAGATGAATGCAAAGGAGAATATTACAATTGAATTGCTTGACTTCTTTTAACATCGACTTGCGAAATAGATTCTATATTTTTGTGTAAACCAATAATGTACCTATATAAAAAAAATCTATATTCTATGTTACTGGAGAGTATGTTAAAAATAATAAATCAATCTATGTTCAAAAATGTAGTTTTTTAATATATATATTTATAGTTTTACAAGTATAAAAAATATAAGTTTTATCTAACATATTTTTCAAATACCAACAATTAATGAGTACTAATGTCATAAACTTTTTTTGTGTGATTTTAATACTTACACTGCTTGATTCTTTATCAACAATATAATTAACAACTTATTTTTATGGTGTTTTACCATCAGCAAGTACTTTATACACCTACAAATTAATATTATTAATCAAAAGAATAATTATATCCATCGTCTTCAAATTCAGGATTCCAGAAACCTAAAAGAAAAATCAATCAAGTTGTATGCACTGTTGCTCGGCAGTGTTAATAAAAAGTTACTTACTATCTGGGGTCAAATTATGCGCTTTATATTTCCCTCTATGCCGTGAGCATTCATTCTGACGTATTCTCTTCTCATTTTCTGGTAAATCATCATACCACTGAAGATGCCATCAATCATTAATTAGTCAGTATTTATAAATTATTTATAAAAATTTTCGAAAATTTCAGAAGCTCGATTTTACCTTTTCACAATCTCTACACGACCAGCCTGGTAATAAAGCTCTTTCAGATTTTTTTCTTACAGGTGCTTCTTTATAAGCAAATTTAGGACTTTTGTCTTTTCGTTTGGGTACTCTGAAAAGAAAAATTGCGTTTAGTTACACCCTTTATTCTAGATTAGTTTAAATACTAATAAAGCAAAAAATACGTACACATCAAAGTTGGACATGAGCATTTTTTTTGTTGGTGGAGATGCACTTTTTTTTTTATTTTCAAAATCAGTAACATTTTCCTGAAAATCTGCATTACGATTTCTATGGTCAGTTATTTCAGCAGGTGAAAAGAAAGTTTCATCACTGAGAGTTTTTTCGCATTCAAATGACTTTCTCTTTTCTCCCATAAATATTCTACCAAGTTCATTAGCTTGATTGGAAGTAGTTGGTTTGGAAAATACATTATAGTTGTTTTTTGAATCGTGCCGACGTTGATTGGTTGTATTAGTTTTACATTCATTTGTCAAAAGTTTAGAATTTTTTAAGTTTTTCACGTTATCACTGCTTTCAGTGGTATGTCTTGGTTTTGACTTGTTAGTATCAGGCATTTTCATACTGAGCTTATTTCTCAATTTTGATGTTTCACTGTGAGACGGACTTTTTTCTACCAATTCATCTTCACATGCACTTTTATTTGTTACATTACTTTTAGCTATCCAACTCGCTGAATCATCTTTTAATGCAGGTTCCTTATTAACACAAGTACTGCTTACATTTATTTTAAAATTAGTTTCTTTTTTGTTATCATTACTCTTACTTGCATTATCATTATTAAAAAATGTTTCACTCCAACTACTATTGCACTCTTTACTTTGACTATTCTTATTTTCATCTGCATCATTTTTACTGATGTCTATCACTGGAATTATTTTTCTCAAAGTCAACTTGGATTGTCTCAGCTTTTTACATTTTTCGGTGAATTCAGTTTTGCCATAATTAATTTTTGAAAGGCCTAATATTATATCATTTTTGTTTTGTCTTTTTGGTGTAGTACATACATTGTTTTCAATTTCATGTAAAGGCTCTCTGTCAAACTTATCATCATCTATTTTATTACCACCACTCTTTTCCAGATTAATTGGGGTATTTGGACAACTAATTTTGCCATCATTGCTTGAAGTGATGGACGTATTTGATACTGATAAATCATTATTATTTTTCTTTGAACTGCACCTTCGAGATTTACTCAAAATTGGACTTTTGTGTAACTTGTTTGAATTGTTTGCTGCAGGTCTAGGCGGGGATTTATGTTCATTAAAACTACCTTCTTCAACATCTGAGTTAAAGTCTTCAGTGTATATTGGAACAATGTCACAAATATCTTCTTTTTGAGCAAAAAAATTTTTCACGCCAACATTATCACCAGCTTTTTTATCAACAGCATAGTTTCTAGGTGGTGTGACTTCAAGATTACTTGTTACATTGGTTGGGATCACTTCAGACTTACCATGCCTATCTTGTCTGGATAGGTAAAAAAATAATAGAATTAAAATCGAGAGAGAATTTTAAGAACATCTACAAAGACATTAAAATTAAAAAAAAGTTTTCAGCAAGTAAATGAACACCGAATATCTCTATGTATTTAAATGATGTGACTCAACCATTTTTTAATATAACTTACTTTTGTTGATGGCTCTTACAGTGGTACTTCATGCATCGTTCCGCAAGCACATAATACCTATTTCTTTCTTCTGCTAGTTCTACAAACATTTATTGATATTTATAAATGAAAAGAATAATTAAAGTTAGTCTTATTAACTAAATCAAGAAAATAAAGTTTTTCCAAAAATTAATTGTATTTTATAAAAAAAGGCATGTTAAAAACTTTATAAATTAATGTATCATGAAAGTTGGGTTAAACATAATTAAACCTTTTATTTTTAATTAACGCAATAAGTTATCAACTTTTGTGAAAACATTTTATAACTACATACAGTTCTTAGTATTAATATCATAATTTCTATTTTATTTGCTTTCATTAAAAGAACGTAAATGAAGCGATTGACCCGTAATTTTGAAAACACTAACAATTACACTTACTGTGACAGAATAGAAAAACATCTTCTAGTTGATGAGTAAAATTTTCCAAAGATAAATTAGTTTCTTCATTCTGATCATAATATTTCTGTTTCAATTCGTCGTCCATTAACTCTGACGCGAGTTGGAGGTTGGGTTCGATCAAAACCGGGCGCCAATCCATTGTTTTTTTGAGGACAGTGGATCCCATTTTCCATGTGATACTTGTTGTTTCTCACAAAATCTCAATGTTCACTTAAGTCCGATCCTAGTCCGATTATCCCACTCAACGTTGATAATATATTATTGTTTTATTCTTGAGTTGGAGACGTTATCAAGCCAATACAATACCTAATTAGTGTACCCATCCTATCACACATTTGACAGTGATCTATATATCAAAGTTGATGACTCAAAATAGTCCAAAAATGGTCCAAATCAAATTATATAGGTATACTATAATGGCGCTAGCGTCAACCTGTACAAAGATATTAAGATATTGTTTGGTTTTTTCATCCCCATCTTACTTACCACGGGTGTTTTCCGCAATCGTCACCGCAGCAAGTAATTTAAGGTTGCGCTCAACGTTACCGTCAGGTCGGTAAGTCAACTACTAATTGATGGTTTTGGAGGTCGATTTCAAGGTAAAAGATAGATTGTAAACTTGCCTCAAGTAGCACAAACCACGTTAACTTTTTATTATCTATCTACAAAATTAGTTGCGGCTGGTTTAAAATTGATTAAATGGCTCTAATTTAAAAAGTAATAATTATTTTGGATCAGCGCCATCTAGCGGTCTTCATTTTTTAGCCAAAAGTGGCCTCTAAAATTCTAAAACAGAGCATTAGGGCTGAGAGCCATTTAGTCAATTATAAACCAGCCGCAACTCATGATAAAGCTGTAAAATGAAAAAATAACGATACGTGTGTTTTTGGCGGCAAGTTAACAATCTATTTTCTACCAAAAAATTGACCTACTGTGTGTTTATACTTTTGAAGATAAATTTTCAAGCATAAGATAGATTGTTAACTTGCCGCCAAAAACACACGTATCGTTATTTTTTTATTTTATAGCTTCGTCATGAGTTGCGGCTGGTTTATTATTGACTAAATTGCTCTAATCCTGAATGCTCTGATTTAGAATTTTAGGAGACACTTTTGGCCAAAAAATGAAGACCGCTAGATGGCGCTGATCCAAATAACTATCGTTACTTACAGTAAAGTCACTTTATTAGTTATAAACCAGCCGCAACAAACATTATAGATAGATAATAAAAAGTTAACATTTTTTGTGCTACTTGCGGCAAGTTTACAATTTACCTTTTACCTTAAAATCGACCTCCAAAACCATCAATATTCTACTTATCTTATATATGGCTCATAAAATCGACAATATTTACAAAATTACAATACTCTATACATTTTACCATTAACTAATGAAAGAACAGCCCTTTAACTTTAGATTTTCAATAAACAGTTAACTTGTATAATATGTACATAGCGAAATTTGTGTTACAGAAATCGTAAATCACGATCAAATATACACGTAAATTAATCAGTCGAAAAGAGACAACTGAAGAAAAAAGGTCTTAAAAAGAAGCAGCCACACGAAGAGTCTCCTAGGAATGGAGCATCGGATCTCACTAATTAAAAAATACATTCATTACAGAGACGTAAATTTTAAGTGTTATAAGTAAACAAAGAACCCAACCTTCTCTGAACAAGTGAGATCCAGTTGTCCATTCTTATGAGACTTTTCGTGTGACTGTGCTTCTTTTTCAGGCCTTTTTTCTTCGATTGTCTCTTTTGGACTGATTAATTTGTGCTTACATGAGCCATATAAGATAAGTAGAATATTGATGGTTTTGGAGGTCGATTTTAAGGTAAAAGGTAAATTGTAAACTTGCCGCAAGTAGCACAAAAAATGTTAACTTTTTATTATCTATCTATAATGTTTGTTGCGGCTGGTTTATAACTAATAAAGTGACTTTACTGTAAGTAACGATAGTTATTTGGATCAGCGCCATCTAGCGGTCTTCATTTTTTGGCCAAAAGTGTCTCCTAAAATTCTAAATCAGAGCATTCAGGATTAGAGCAATTTAGTCAATAATAAACCAGCCGCAACTCATGACGAAGCTATAAAATAAAAAAATAACGATACGTGTGTTTTTGGCGGCAAGTTAACAATCTATCTTATGCTTGAAAATTTATCTTCAAAAGTATAAACACACAGTAGGTCAATTTTTTGGTAGAAAATAGATTGTTAACTTGCCGCCAAAAACACACGTATCGTTATTTTTTCATTTTACAGCTTTATCATGAGTTGCGGCTGGTTTATAATTGACTAAATGGCTCTCAGCCCTAATGCTCTGTTTTAGAATTTTAGAGGCCACTTTTGGCTAAAAAATGAAGACCGCTAGATGGCGCTGATCCAAAATAATTATTACTTTTTAAATTAGAGCCATTTAATCAATTTTAAACCAGCCGCAACTAATTTTGTAGATAGATAATAAAAAGTTAACGTGGTTTGTGCTACTTGAGGCAAGTTTACAATCTATCTTTTATTCGAAAATCTACCTCCCAAAGTATAGATATTCATGTGGTTAATTAATAAAATCGATTATAAGGCACTACTTAGTAGTGATTACTATAATTACTACACATAACTTCACGTACTATATCTTACACCGTTCTCTCTTTACCAAAATGATAAAATCAGAGGCTGTACTTATTCCGCAAATGCTGCCAGCAGTTAAGTTACGTAGGTCGTTGTAACGCCGCGTGGTAAGGACCATACGCAAGATGATAAATATTTTCGATATTTTTTCAGAGATTTTTTATGATAGAAAAAATCCTAGTTTCAGAATTTTTTTCAATAAAATTTCTTCATTTGCTTGAAATATCTGGGATTTACATTAATTAAATTCATTATAAAACAAAATATTGTGGTTTTGTTTTTTTATTAACGATTGGTTTTTTGGTATTTACATAAATGTTTCAAATATACAATGAGAGCAGATAATCTGCAAAATATTCTACTTAATAAAGAAATACGCTTTATGTACAACTTCAGACATTTTTAGTATAAATAATTCGTTTTTTTTTTTTTACCATAAACACAATTCGTTTTGCTTTATAGTTAATGCAATTAAGAAGTACAACAATTAATGTAACAAGTATAGAATTATTACACTGGATAAATGTCATTTATTACACAAAATTCTGCCATACTTGAGAAACTACTCTGTCAGTAAAAGTAAGACTGATGAAATAAGCAGTAGTGCAACTACTCTTGTCTTAAAATTAAGTTAATCTTCACGAAATTACACATTTTACAATCTATGAAAAGTTACGTACATCATTTACAATAATCATTCAAAACTTTACTAGGAATCATCTTTTTTTTTAATTTTTTAGTCTACAATATCACAAGCGAGACAAGTTGTGTGTACTTACATTATGTACATTTTATACATAAAATATTAAATTTTATGGACTAAACGTAGATCGAGAAGACGTGGAGGGTAGAAAAACGTTTTTTGGCAGGCTAACTAAAGAAACGGATTTAATTATTGGTCGACCTGCACTAATGGAGACACTGGAGGCACTTGGGCTGCTTGGGCATGTCTCTAAACCATAACGTGACATCAAAGCGGACAATGCGGTCCTAACGCCGATAGTAGCGATTTGTGACCATCGGCTACCCGAACTTACTGCATCATCACCAGCGTAAACAGCGTGCGCGTCGAAAGAGCTCTTTTGACTTTTATTTACTGGGAAAGGAGAATCTGAAACATTATTATATTTTTAAAAAGTCCTTCGTGGCTTTTAATTAATTGTCCAGATATCTACTAACCTAGCATTGGTGGATTTAGGACAGGTTGACGAGGATCCACTGATCCGCTCTGCTTTACGTTGCTGGCCAAGCGAAGCTCTGTGTGCAGTTCGGCTAATAATTGTGCTGCTTTTGGATCAGTCTGACAAACAATTACAGCATTAGTTTTTATTTGTTGAATAAAAATATCTAATTTCTCACTACTTAAGGAAATATCGATAAAATTAAATTTGTCAACATCAAAAGTAGAATGTAGAGCGTTGTCAAATGTGCTAGGTTAGTTTTAGTCATAACAAATGTGCGGTATTTAAAATTTTACTTGTAGGTGCATTTCTTTGATAAATAAAACCTGGAATTAATTTTATAAGAAAAAAAAGTGATCGTGGCGTAATAGAAAATGACAATTCTAGATAATAAATTTATTTAGTTTTTAAACAGACAAAATAATAACGTATTAGTCATTCTTATAAAAATAAGGGTTATTAATAAATCAATTCATTGAAAGTGAGTTTCTACCTCATTATCTGTTTTAAGGGACATAAGATCATCAACGCTGATAGGTTTTCCTTGATTTAGGGCTCCTGTAAGACTAGTTAATTTACGAGCAAGACTGTCTTCCGTTGTATATTCTGGAAAGTGAGATCCATCTCTGATATTACTTCTGGGTTTCACTGGTGGTGGACTGTTATAACTGTATGGTGAAGAGGCGAATGGAGCACTTTGGCTAAACATTCCATCGCCACCCATCACGTGTGGTTCTGAACCATATCGCAGGACTGAACCATAACCTGCCTCCATTTTTAATCTTTTAGATGACCTGAAATCAACAATATAATTTCCATTGGTTATTCTCATGACAATTAGCAACAAGCTACTAATCCAACAGAAAATTGCTCGATTTCACTTCCAACTTTCCGTTCAAACAAATTTACTTATTTCACATTAAAAATCACAATGATTGGAAAAAATTTAATGCTTACTTAATTTTATTATGCAACACATTCGTTGAGTACATTACAGTCAGAATTAATTTTTTAAAATCAAGCAATTATCTTTCTACCATTATTTTCACATTAAGTATCAGAATATTATGATCTAATGATGAATTTATGTAGTTAATGTCTGATTAATAACACACAGGGAACCATGACATATGTTTGTTTATGAACCACAGTACAGTGAATTATTGATTGAAGTTACGGAAAAACATGTTAATTGTTTTAGTAGGAAAATATTTGATGGATGGTTATTTTTGTATGAAGCCCAAAATGATAAACACATCTTATTAATTTAAGATTAAGGTATTGGGGAAAAATCATTACCTACATTATTCATAAAAGCTCTACACAAAATTCCTTTATCACAATTGGCCACTACATTTTTATTTCCTGAAACACAAGTTTTTTTTCACTTTGTTAAGTTTTTTGACAAGTTTATTTAAGATCAGCTTAATAATTTTACTTATCCACGATTTTAAATTCCACATAAATATACATATATGAGATTTGATGAGTTAACATATTAAGGAATTTACATTGCAAAAAAATGATGAAAGTATTCTCTGAAATTATTAAAAATACTTCTAAAAATTAAAACTTGACAGAAATTTTTTTTTTTTAACCGAATTCAAAAACATTTTACATCATTTTTTTACATCAAAATAGAAATAAATAAAAAGTAAATTTGGAAAAAAAATTGAAAGTTTATTATCATTATTTCTAGGTATTGTACATTATAAACATAAAATTACTTAAATAATAAGTAATACTCAAATGCATGCGATGTGGAACCACATAATCGTAAATAAGTTGCTACATTACTGGCAGTCATTAAAAATTTTTTAAATTTTTTTATGATGCTTCATATGAATGAATAAACTTTCTATTTTTCAAGTATGATCATGTAATTTTACATTTTTTTATAGGTTCCCAGTGTGTAACTCTGTATTGGAACTGTCAATATTGTTTTCAATGATTTTTATTGCAAGGCTGCAAAAGGAAAATATTACTGCTAAGAAATTATTAAAATTATTAAATTAACAAAAGTAAGACAGTCAACTTCTGAATTAAATCTATCATTACTTTTGTTTTTGCTTCATAATATAACAATAACAAATGTTTTTAATTTCATTATTTTATTTTTGTTTAGTTAAAAATCTTAACACGTAAAGATTGTCTTAAATAATAATATATTAATAATTTGTTTCAACCGTAAAGCAAAAAGTGTTTCATTTATTACATAAAAATAACAGGTCAAAACAGCCGTTAGATAAAAGGAAAATGAAGATGACTTCTGATGCATAAAAAATTTTAACACTCCAAAATTCATGGCTAACATAAAAATAGTTTAGAATAATAAGCGTATGAAATATGCTTATTATTAATCAACAATCTTCTGTAACATCCCATCATAATGCGAATTCTTCATATGGTTTGTCTGGACAACATTGTTAAGCAGCTAAGCAATCCTTTGAATCCATGTTTTATTTACACAAAAGATTTTCCTTACAAAAGTTTGTAGACCTATTATGTTGGCATCATTGCATCATTATTTGTAATATTTTTTCATGCTTTTTGGTATTTTTTTTTTTTTTCTTTTTTTTCTTTATACATTATTCAATAGACGAAAAAATATGTTTCAAAATAAAAACTGATAACCATTCTAAAAGTTATGTTTTACAGATATCAACTTTTTCTGTACAAATAGGAATCAGGTTCATTTATTACAATTTATAATCGTCTAAAGCTCTTTAGGTAGGGTAAAATATAAATAATGTACAAAGTTGTGTTTAAATTATAACCACGCACGGGCGCAGTCCTTCAACACATCTGCTGGAATTATGACTGATCGTTTCGTCAGTTGTCTACTATTACTCACCCCCCAACGTCGAGGTCCTCGATAATTTTTTGCATGCCGTCTCTATTTGATACTGACATCAATGGAATTCCGCCTTGTATTTCTTGTTGTTTTCTCAACTGTCGTCTTTTATTCTTACTCCACAGCTCGTGACAATCTTGCCACGTTGGCAATTTAGGTATCGGCATTCTGTAATCATATATATTTGCATGTAATAAAGGAATAGTTTTGCTAGAAGATCATAGATTGCATGTGCCTTGATTTCGAAGCTTTTGTCACAGATGACAATTGTAAGAATGGCACAATTTATTTGCTGCTGAAGAATGTCTATATATTATTAGTCAGTTAAATAATTATTTTTCTGCTTCAGAACAAAAAAATGGTATATACTAATAACGAGTACAAGTAAAAAAAGGTATTAGATTCCACATATTCATAACAATGTACATACAGTCGTAGGAAATTTTTTACTTTTTTTTATAAAAATATATTTAATGCATTATTTTGGTCAATAGTATCTCCCTTTAACTTATCCTCTATGATTTGTGAAGTATGTGTAATTGAACTTACTGTTCTGGATTCACATGTTTAAGCCATGGGCTCTTCAGAGCGTCAGCAGCTGTTATGCGCTTGTCCGGATCCAACTCCAGCATTTTATCCAATAATTCTAACGCAGTACCTGGCATGAAATTAAAGTCTTCTCGAAGCCTTCGTCTGTGTGTTTTTTTCGGTTTCAAAGTATGCCATAGAGGTAATTTTATCACAGTTGGCCATACTGCTGGCGTTGGTGTTCCACAAACTTTGGATATATAATCCAGTTGCATCATTTCCGTGTTTCCCTGAAAAAAAAAATGAAAAAATTCATGACCACGGTAAAATATTTAATTTATCTTTCAGAAGGTGAAAAGGCATTAAATTACAGGAAATAATGGTTTCTTTAAAAATAATTCTCCTAAAATACATCCACAACTCCACACGTCGATTGCAGGACCATAACGTTCTTCTCCCAACAATAGTTCCGGTGGCCTGTACCATAAAGTGATTACTTTGTTCGTGTAAGGACGTTGCCTATCCTCTGCATTGTACAGCCTAGCCAAACCAAAATCAGCTAACTTGACTTCACCCCTTTAAAGAAGAAGATATTGTTCATTATATAATCGATGCAAGATGATTTTATGAACATTAAAAAAACTTACTTGTTGTTCATAAGAATATTGGAACATTTAATATCACGGTGTAGAAAGTTTTTGCTGTGACAATAGTTCAAGCCATCGAGTAACTGCTTCATTATGCTGGAATTATTCATCTCATTAAATTCGACTAATCCAGACTCTAACAAACCCATCAAGTCGTGATCCATGTACTCAAAAACCAAGTAAAAAGATCCCTTGTCCTATAAAGTAAATAAAAAATAAGCATAAAAGATTTTCAATGAAATGCATATGTTGCGAGAATTCTTACTTTTCGGAAATCAAGAGCGTCTTGTTTATCAGTAACGATTTCCCTCAGATTGACAACATTTTTATGATTAAGCTGTCGCAGGATTTTGATTTCTCGCACAGCCGTGATCGGGAATCCATCTTTTTCATTTTCTAATCGTACCTTTTTCAGAGCAACAATAACACTAGCCCTTTTGTCTTGCGCTTTGTACACCTGACCATAAGTACCCTCACCGATTTGATCAAGGACTTGAAACACATCGACACACCGTTCTCCCCAATCTCTGCCACCAGAAGCCGACATAGGTATGTTATTGTTTCGTAAACCCTTCTTTTTCAATATTTTTGGTCTTTTCAGCTTTGGTTTTGGAGTTATCCGTTCGATTTTGTTCCGCGGTGGAGTCGATACCGCGTCATCATCACCACTAAGATCTTCCGTACCAGCAATGACTGAAAAAAAAACCATAAACAAGTTAAAAAAAATATTTTACTGATCTAATACTGAATTAAGTAGCAAGAGGTTTCTTACCAGGTGGCATGGGTAGGTCTTTGATACCACGTTTTTTCGGCTTTGGAGTGACAGGTGTAGTGCTACCGATAATCGGAGTCAACTTTACCATTGGCTTAGTTGGAGGTGGTGTAGGAGAACGACTTGGCGGGGAGTCTATGCTCTCTAGATCGTTTTGATATGGGCCAGGAGGCATCGGCAGCTTGTTGAGGATACTAGTTTTGAATGAAAGAACTGGCTGCTTTGGCGTATCAACAGATTTTATAGGAACTGGTACAAGGTTATCGGGGGTACTGAATAATTTGGCAATAGCCGAGGTCGTAGGGAAAGCAGATGTGGTCACGGGAGGTGGCCCAACGGGAGGGGCATTATGTATCATAGGAGGGAGTACGGGTGGATGTGCGGTAACCATCGACACAACAGGTGCGGAAGCAGGTGTTGGGGTTGGGGTTGGGATAGGAGCAGGGGTTGGAATTAGAACTGGGGTTGGGACTGGTGTTGGAATTGGGACTGGAGTAGGGATAGAAGTAGGAGTGGGAGTCGGAACACGAGCGACGACTGCCGAAGGAGGCGGTGCTGGTACGGGTAGAGGCACTGGGACAGGCACTTGAGGTAGACCTGATGATATGGGAATAACTGGATTAACGTCTGGATGATGAGCATGATGTGGCGAATGCTGCTGCTGTTGCTGCTGTTGTTGTTGCTGCTGCTGCAAATGTTGCTGGAGTTGCTGTTGAAGCTGTTGCAACTGAGGCTGTAATTGTACCGGCTGAACTACTTGTGGCTTTTGCTGTGGCATGTGTTGTGTTACAGCTGGCAAATTCTGAACAGCTGTTGCTAAAATAAATTTTTTTTTCAGCAACTTTTTTTTATACTTATAAAAAAATTTTCTTTCGATATATCCAGCAAAATAATCGTACTTGTTATCGATACTCCCGGAATACTTGCAATGGGTGCGTCGTTACCCGGAGCAAGAGAATTATTATATACATGTGCGGCCTGAGCTGCAATGGCTGCTCCAACCTGCAACGCCGCTGCAGATGCAGAAATCTCCAGCTTTGGTTGTGGCTGTTGTTGTTGCTGCTGTTGCGTGAACATTGATACAACGGCTGGTAAGACAGGTGCCACCGGCAACGGAGGTGTCTTAGGAGCCACAGGCGTGTCATTTTGTGTTGACGTGTCCAAGGTGGTAGCATTAGGAATGAGAACTACCGGTGTAGGAGCATCGGTCATAGAATCATCCACAGCGAGCGGGACACCAATCAGGACGGTGCTTGGCACGGCTGGAACCAACGTCTCCGTTGCCACTTGCACTGGTGCTAGCGACTGCACCTTTGTCTGCAGTATCGGCGTCTGCGCCTGCACCTGTGTCTGTGTCGACGTTTGTATCTCTATTTGTGGAGTCTGTGCCTGAACAGAAGGATTAAGGGTGCTATTCACTTCAAACAATGTACTATTTATGGTTAAGCATGTAAGCAATCAAGAAGTACGCATATACTTTAGAAAATAAATTGACACAAGTTAAAAACAACAGCGAATGTCTAATATCAGTTGTTGAGCAAACTGTACGTACCTCTGGCAACGTAGGCGGTAGAATGTTCGTTTGAGGAACGGGTATATCGAGAACGTCGACGGTCAAGTCTACATTCGTAAGAGGTGTCGTAGCGGCTGTTGAGGACTTATCGTTGTTCCTCTCGATGGTCGTCGTTGACGAGGAGCCGTTACTGTTGTCCTTGTCGTCCGAGCCTTCAATTATTTGCACATCGTCCTGACTAGCCTTCTCCTTGGCTGCTTGTAGCCTTTTGAGCGCGAGTTCCCGCATATTGCGATCCTTGACCAGTTCGGCAAACAAGCTGGTCTGTTGGACCTTTTCCGCGACCTGGAGCTTATGTTTCAGGAGGCTATTCGGTGACTTGCGACGGTGAACCGGCGAGGGTATGCGCGAGATCCGTGGACTCCTTGAGCGGCGCTTGCGCGACGATTTGTGCGACTTGCTCGGCGAGTGAGACTTTTTGGGGGTACGGCTGCGCCGTCGGGAGCGAGAACGCGAGCGCGACTTGCGCCAGCTACGGTGTGGGCTGCGTGACCTCGAGCGAGACAGGTGCGCCCTCGAGGAGGACGAGCCTACTGGGCTCCTCGCTAATTTTCTCTTGTCCCTCCTGTCTTTCTCGTGATGCCTGTGCTGCCTCGAGGAGGAGTCTTCTCTTCTTCTCTTTCGGCTGGATGACGAGGGCGACGACCTGTTGATAAGCAAGTCGTCGGCCCGGCTCTTTCGATGCGAGCTCGGACTCGGGCTGTGCCTGCTGCTTATCCTGTGCATCGAGCTGTGATTCGAGGGACTGTAGTCCCGACGCCTGCTTCCCGAGGTCGGACTGTGCTCCCTGCGCCGTTTACTCGAAGACGAAGACGGCGGCGGACTGGTCGGACTGTGAGGCCTCCGTCGACTCGAGCTGACGTGGTTCGGGCTTAGGTGAGCCAGAGAGGACTTGTGTCGTGAGTCTGGGCTATGCGGGTGACCACTACCGCCACCGCCACCACCACCTTGCTTGGACTTGCTCGAGTGGTGATGGTTATCGGGCGTGATGGCTCGATGGGGCGGTAGTAACGGAGTGTGCGGTGACTCGATGTGTCTGCCGACGACCTGCTGCTGGTGCAGCATGGACGCGTGTATGGACGTAGACTGCGGGGGCGTTGTCATGTGCTGCCGTGAGGGTGGTGACTCGAGGTCCATGTCGCTGGGTGAGCGCCGCTCAGGTGGCGTGGCAGGTGAGATTGGCGAAGTGCTCGCCTTGTGGCTCATGCGGGGCGGCGAGTGGCCGGACTGATGCTGTTGCTGGAGCCGCCAGCTGGTCAGCGCTTGGGAGTGCAGCAGCTCGCCGCCCGCGACCATCATACCTGTGGGGCTGACGCTACGAGAGGCGCGCTTCGACTTGCGTTTTTTCTTTTTCTTGCTGCTGGACACACTGGAGCCCGGACTGAGGCTGACCCGAGCTTTTTTCTTGTCGCGTTTGTGCTTTTTCTCTTTGCGGCGAACGCGACGCTGCTCTTCGTCCACGTAGTTACCGGCCATGGCGACCTCAACCGAGCGCAGGAGCGCGGGAGACGTAGGGGCGCCGTAGTGCTGCTGCTGCGACGACTTTTTGGATAGACGCGTGTGTACAGGTGGCGGGGGCGATAGACTGATGGGCGATGTGTCGAGTCCACGGGTAAGTTGGGGATCAGCAGCAGTCCCCCCATAGTACCGGGGCCTTAGCAGTGATTCGGGCACCTCGCCGTCCGTGTAGCTGTGGCCTCCGCGACTGTCTTCTGATTGGATCTCACCAGCCTCTGGTTCTGAAAGGTCCTCACTGCTGACGTCCGAGTACTCGACGAGGGGCTTTTTGGTCAGGGACTGGTGGTGTCCAATGCCCGAGCGGCTGTCTCGCGAACGCTTCTTCTTTTTCTTGATACCACCGGCCCGGCGATGGTGCCGGCGATGTCTACCCAAGCTCAGGCTTGAGCCTCCCCCTACTACGGACTCGACACTTTGAGCTACGACTGCCGCAGCCGCGGCTACTTCGTAGCTCCGGCTGGAGCTGCCACTAGGAGCACTGATGCCGAGGGATAACAGCTCACTACCGCCGAGGCCACTGGTGCTGTCTTTCCTTCGCGAGGACTTGTAGCGACCGTTGCGTTCCGCTCGCTCGATATCACGACTGCTAGGCATGTCACCTACTGACAAACAGATGAAAAATCAAACAATTAGTTTGATTGCTTATGCTCTGGTGCAATATGTGCTTCTTATGCATTCTACTCTAATGTGTTCAATTGTTTTGAAATTTATAGAGATAGAATTCTAATTTGCATGAGCTATTAGATATCCAGCATTTTCTTTTTTTTCTTTTAGCTATTAGCGTTATTAGATTCTTTCAGGGAATTTTTTGTTCGCAATATTACTCGGAATCATGCGTAAAATTTAAATGTTTAAACGAAAAAAGGGCAAAATTGACTAATTACTATGTCTGTAAACGGTTAAATTGACTAATTAACCATGGATAAAGTATTTATACTTTATATGGTTATTGTGCCGTACTTATGCACAAACTCTAATCTAATACTATTGCAGAAGAGCTTGATTAGTACGTCTACTTGGAAGTAATGGTGATGTAATGAGTTATGAGTAATGTTGTAGTACTTATAAATTGCTGGATACAGTTCCAATTTTCGAATACACATGTAATCTCTAGTACTTAGTGTGATGGGAATATAAAAGTAAAATACGTTAAAAATAAAAAAAATAAACAACCTCTGTAGTTAAAATTATTTACCAAATTATTTCTGGAAATTTATCAAAGCAAATGAATTTGTGTGTATTTAATAATAAAAAGAACACGTTTTTAAATCTTATTTTTCATGATACTGCTAGATAACACATTTACATTTTAATTTCATTATCAAATTAAGTTGTAAATTATATTTTCAATAGTAAAAATAAAAATAAAGTAATTTTAACAAATTTACCTCATTGTAAGTGCTATGGTGGTGAGTAAAAAATGAAATCGTGCATGCAACTTCTGGGCTGGAAAATTTGCAACTAAGCAACAACAAAAACATCGACACTCGAGTCTTATTTCGAAAAGTCACCACACAAGCGTTTCCAGCCCTACGTATGAAATTTAATTTTCAAAGTTAACGCACAGGTAAGTAAAGTCTACAGGGCAAAAGCACATTGGACCTGCACTTGGCCCACACATTGCGAGTAACCTAAATCGGAGAACCCATATCAGTATGGGGTCGGCACAGTACGTCAAGCATAAGCTCTCTCTCGACACAGTTTGCGCCTTAGCTGCTGCAACTTCTCGGACACTGGAATCGGCGTGCTGTGCAGGCGACTAACAATTAACAATCATCCAGGTAATCACCCCGTGGGAGATAACCGCACGCGAGACGAGCGCATGTACTTATCACGCATAGGTGTGCTGAGGTACATTACGACCTTGTCGGCTTGATTCTCGACTCTACCAGTCTACAACTGATGATGCGCAGAGTTCCAGATACCGCCTTGTCGTCGTCGATGCTCCAAAAAAATTACATATGCTCTGTTCCTTTCAATACACACTGTGCCAGCCATGTACCCTCATCTCTTTCTTTCTTTTTCATTTATAACCAACGCAGCACATCAGTAGATGATAGCACTAAGCAGAACAGCATTTTGCACTGCATGCTCATCACAGTCGAACACACATTTTTAACCTATATATGCACAAGTAAGTATACCATGCACAAGCGAATACATCGGAGAGAAAAAGAGCAAGAAGGAGGACTGGACTACGGGGAGAAGGGTGGGAGAGCGGACATTCATCGTTTTACGGAGTTCCACCACGTATGCAGCAGCAGCATCAAGATCGATCGTTTTCGTAACTTCCTCGAGAGCATCACGGATCACGGCGACAGGATCAAACAATCCGGAGGAGGTAGGCCTCTCGCGGCGCTCAGAGCTGTGTAGGATCGAGAAATTTGTTCGGAGCATCGCTGACCGTCCGCATCGACATCGGAGCGAGTTGCGACCGCCATTGCTGCACTCTCGCGTACCACGAAACCCGAAATCGGATCATCGCCGAGGAAGCTTGCACCGGTGCATTTATGAGGTTACAAAGCAGAGGGAGAGAGAGGAATAAGCAGTACGAAAAGTAAAGACAGAAACAGTAGCCGGGACTTACGTGCAACGCTCAATTGGTGATGACGCGGCGCTGTTCCAGGGCCTGTGACTTGGCATCGAACTGCTGGTCCTCCTGGGAGCAGACGCGCGCCTCAGGATCCTCTCGATAGTCTGGGTAGTTGTGGCCTTCCAACGATGTTTTTTTTTATTGTGTCCCCGGGGAATACCCCTTACTTCTGGGAGTTGTTTAATGTAAAATTTTTTTTTCTTCCTATACACGTCTTGACACGCGCGCACTACTTTTGCACAACACACGTCCGCGGTCCGGAGTTGTTTTTTTTTCCTCCAAAGAAGTCCACACGGAGACAAGGTTATTGCAACGTCGTGGCCTCGAAGCACGCGGTCAAGGAAGAGAAATAGCTACGAGAAGAGCAAACGTCGTGGTGTAGCTTTAATGGCGCCCTGTTTTCTCGTCGCCCATGCGGTTGTCTTCCTTATTTTCCTTCTCTCTCGCTTTGTCTTTTTCAATTATCGACGCATCATGTCCTCATTGTTATTTGTTGTATGTATCGTCAACGCAGGGCGTTTAATTATTAATTTGTTGGAATGTCTCGGGTAGCGAAAACGAGAGATCAATGTTCGTGTGCATCGAGCGTGCTGGCGATACGTGCAGATGTGGCAATATGGACGGCCGTGCTGCCGCAGCAGCGGCCATTTGGACTATTAGAGGCGTATACCTACACTGCAGCGGAGAGAAAAAATGTATGTGCTCTGATGCGCAAATGCGTAAAAATATGTATGTGTGCGTGTGCTCTAGATATTATCCTCTGCAAAACGAGGAGGCACGAAGATTTAATGTTTTTGATTTCAATTAAAAGAGCTACAGAAAGATGTAGTCGCGCGAGAATGAGATCTCAAAATGTTACGGATCTCGACTCTCACCCAAAAATTGAAAGTTTAAAGATTCGATAAAAAGCGTCCCATTTCGTCGCGATCGAGGCCGTGACGTAACGCGGAATGACGAGCGATGAGCGAGGAGCGAGCCACCGTAGCCGAGGAGGCGACTCGACTTGGCCAATTGCGCGTCCTTCTCTTCTGCTTCTGCTCTCTTTCTTTCCTCAACAATATCAATGCAAAAGAGAGGATAAGAGCGACCGACCATATTCGACCAATTGCAGCTTGATATATACGGAAGTCGTCACTTCGATAACATTTCGAGTTTGTGTTGACTGTTTATATGATCCGTCAGTGTCAGAAGACGTCAGAATTAGAATTTATAAATTTATCTATATCTACAAACTCTGTTTTCTTTTCATGCACAAAAAAGTTTTTTTTTTATTTACTTTTTTACTTACTTACAAATAATAAATTTACGAGTACAAAGGGCTTAAGTTGTTGATTCCAATTCACGGTAATGTCACGGTGATGATGTGTTATGTGTTTTTTATACAATTTGAATTCTAGCAAGAAATTTACCTTACTGCTTTTATTGACTGAGTAGAACTCTCATTTCAATTCTATTTAACAATTCAATATTTACATGTTTATAAAAACTGGATGTGTTAAATTAATAATCAATTATACTTTAATCCCAAAAATCCTAGTCGTTTTTTATACGACTCGTTCATTCAGTTTCATTTTACCGTCCATCGATGAATTTTATTCGGTTATCAGTCGGCAACATAGCAACCTTCAATATTGTCGCGATAGATGTTTTCCGCAATGCGCGCATTCCGACGCGTCTGCTATTTTCAGGCCGCGGCCACATAGACGCGTTCGACGGCGTCCGGACGTGTTTGACGTCCGTGAAAATCCGTGCCTAGTTCTATGCTGACAACTTCAAGTGAACTAACTCCCGAACACATCCCGTGTATTTTCACACTTTTTTGCAGTTTTTTTAAGGTTTGCACGTTGGTAGTGAAGAACTAGGCACTATTCTGACGGACGTCAAACGCGTACGGACGCAGTCGGACGCGCTATGTGGCTACGACCGCACTGCGGCCTCTTACTGGTCTGCACTGGCGCCACTGGCCAGATTAATTACGGAACAGAGCTCCAGTAAATTCAAGGTAGTTGACTTACCGACTTGACGATAACTTAGAGCACAACCCAAAATTATACTTTTGTAGTTGTTTTTATATCATGCATCGTATAAACTGTGTATAAATTTAAGGTGATAGATATAAATATATTCGCAGATTTCGCATAGCGAGGCTTGCTCCAAAAACAGTGATCAGTTCCGAAAAAGTAAGTAAGTAGGTACACACAAGGGTGCGGAAAGTGTGGAAAGACCCGAGGTCCGAATGCCTGGATGGTGTTGGATATTGTGTCACGACGACGACGTTGTTAAATCGTTCGTAATGCGCACTTGACAAACAGAATTTCGACTTTCAGTTTACAATATAACTAAACATTTCACGACAATTATTGCATGTTCTCCTACAGTTGCTTTGCATGCCGTGCTAATTGAAGAAAATAAGTTTTTTCGCGTGTGTTCACGGACGAACCTCCAAATTAAAAGCCTCGCATAACCCTCGGACCTCTAGTTGTTTTGGATTTGAGTTTTTCGGAGCAAAGCAAGAACCATAACACAACGTTCTGTTGGCCAAGCTAATGTGGTGATCTTTGACCTTCTGGCCTGTGCTTTTGTGGTTGTTTATTATTTTTATTTCATCAACAACGTTATGGATTCTTTGGAGCCTATGGACGTTGACAGCAGAGAATTCGAAGATTTACTCGAGGAAGGCGAATTAGGTGACTACGAGGAAAACAATCGCATTTATCGAAAACCAATAGCTCTCGATGAAGTGGTAAGTATTGATGATGGTTTGGTTCATGTTCACAATTTTGACGTTGTTAATGACTCATGTTCTTATACTTGTTCCTGCAGATACCGGAGCCTATCAAGGTTAAAACTTTGGTGACAGGTGTGGATATATTTAGTAAAAACACTCAGGAGAAACTTCAGGAACGTGCCAAACGTTTTGGTATTAAAAAAGAGGATGAAAAAGCTTTTTTAAAAGATGCGGAAACGTTGTACCAAAGGTGTGCTTATAATTTATAAAATATTTACGTCATTATTAAAGTTTAGAGTTACTTGCTTAAAAATTTTCATTTTTTTTTTTATTTTTGTAGTTTCGGTATTGTTGAGGGCACAGATAGCGCACAAGATTATCGATTGAATGTTATTCATATGAGAGGCACTCAGAAAATGACCACAAAGGATATATTTAAATACTTTGAAGACTATGCTCCTGCTTCGATTGAGTGGATCAACGAATTATCTTGTAGGTTGAGAGTGTAGAAATTCATTAAAAATTAAAATGCTATTTTGAATAATTTTACTGCCAATTTTAGGTAATGTTGTGTGGTTGGATAAAATATCGGCTGCTAGAGCCATATTAGGCTTATCAAAAAAAATCACAGGTTATAAACAAAACTCAAAGCGTAAATTACATTCTGATGATAATACAGAAGACGATTCTGACGATGATGTTATTATAAATGGTGATAATATAAAAGAAGAAAATGCCATACATGTTAAGGACATTAGATGTCCACTACCCCCTGGTATTTGGAGAAAAGGACGTGATTACAAAGATACAAGAGATATATTCTTGAGGTTTGCTACGATAATGGATAAAAGACAGTACTTAGCAGAGAAACCAGGTGAATAGTTTGAATATAAATTATATCTTTATAACATGCAATATTATTGAATATTTTTGTAAATTAATATTATATGAGGCATACTGCTTATCGGTTTATTAAATAATTACAAATAATAGATAAAATAATTATTTACTATGCTTCAGCATTGAAAGGAATATTAACAAATTCAAGAAAACGCGCTTACAAACAGAGAGAACCTACACCTCCTCCAATAAGTGCGAGTACAAATGGTATAGCTGCAAAAAATCCTTGGGGAAGTCTTTCAAAAAATTGGGGGGTCGCTGATTTTGTTGAGGATGATTATTTGCCGAAAAAACCTGTAGAACCACTTCACGGTGTTAGAGAAAGATTAGGCTTCAGATCTAGGGACAACAATGATTTGTTGGATGAAGAATCTGCGGTAATTGAACTTTCAGACGACAGTGTTATTGTTCAAGAAGATAGTGCAGAAGAAGAAAGTTCTCATGAAGAGGATGACTGGTGTAGAAGAAGCAAATTACCAAGGATGCGTATGCATGCAGACGATGAAGAAGAAAAGCTAGAAAAACGCAAAGGGAAAATCAGAAGTTTGGTAAGTAAACAATAAATCCATCATGACAAAGAATATTAATTTATAATTTGAAGTGATGAGTAAGTTGGTGACCAAGTTTCGTTTAAAATTGTCAACAGGCGCATAACAGAGCGAGAAATGCTAGCAACAATTTCAGAGAACATGATGATTATGAAATAATTGATAATGTGGACGAGGTTGATGATTTTAGGAGAAGTGATTTGAGAGACAATGATTACGGTGATGGTAATGACTTAAGGAAAAGGTTAATTGCTAAGAGACGATTACCGCCACAACCACAACCAATAGTAGAACACGGAATATTAACAGCAAGAAGAAAATTACCGGCAAAACCATATCCAAAACTAGAACCTGATATTCAAGTTGTTCTTACAAATCCTAAAGCACTAAAAAACAATTTCAGCAATCTTGATGTGACAGAGGTATTTTTCATAAACCTAAAAATAACAATATAATTAAATCTTGAATTAAAAACGTATCGATTTACTTTATGCAGGATGAATACGAAAATGACAATGACAGACCTTCTAAAATAATTTTGCCAACGGATGATGATGATGATGATGAAGAAGAAGGAGAAATCATTGATGATTCTGATAGTGATAGCAAAGTAGAATATGAAGAGGAAGAAGAAGTAGAAGAAGATGAAGAGGTAGAAGAAGATCCAGAAGAATTGGAAGAAGAATTAGAAGATAATGACGATGAAGAAGAAAGGATTGAAATAGAATCAGATACAGATACTGAGACTAGCGATAGTAGTAGTATTTCAGAAAAAGAAGTGCAAGGTCCTAGAGGAAGTGTGATCAAGGTGGTACCACGCAAACCAAAATTACAATCAACGGTTACAACGGTGTGGTCACGATTGAAAACTTCCAAAAATAATCGACGCGATGACGATGACGACGACAACAACGACGATGACGACGACGATGACAACTACGATGATGATGATAAAACTTTAGCAAAAAAGTAAGTTCTTATTCATTTAATTTTTTTAACCTGGCAGAATATTTTTTTTTAATTTTATTTATTTTCCATTTTTTTCCGCAGATATCATTCTAAGGCAGATTTAAGGCAGACATTGAAAAAAACTGATTTAAGATCGCGCATCGGTAAAAATCACATTAGAGGGCGGTCACCACTGAGAATAGAACTAAGGAATGATAAATATGCGGGCAGACGAGAGTAAATCTGATTAGAGAGAAGCAAACAATATCAATTGTTGAAAAAAAATAGTTTGATTTTATGATGAAATCGACTTACAAAAAGGCTGTTATTGCCTTTTTTTTACTTATTTGTACATGATCTTGAATAGCTAATATTGAACAAAAATTTTGTGAGAGTAGTAAAAATAAATATTTATTTAAGTTTAGATTAATTTTTTCAATGCTTTATTACGTCATGTGGAGCGTCTGGTACAATAACAATAAAAAATTGGTAACAGGATATATTAACACGCATACAAGTCAATTAAACACATGAAGTAAAATTTTAAGGAAACGCATAAAGATTGCAATTACTGCTGGTATCTTTAGACTAAGTGATGTACATGTATATTTGATGTGAACTGATGAAAATAGTAATTGTTTTAACGAATTTCAAGACGTTCACTTGACTGGTTTTATATCAATGATACTCAACAATATAATTTAATTGTTTTTTTGAGAGATACTACTAAAGATGTAGTAGAAGCATAGTGTATGTACATATATACATATATATTAATGTAAAAAATAAATGCGTATTGCGTCTTGTAAATTTGAATCATTGTAACCTTACGTTATTTTATTTCTTTTCTATTTGTATCTACAGCTACAGTTCTGTGTAGATTCAACAATAAAGTAAAGACTTTGATAATAACACTTTGATATTTTAGTGTCATTTTCATTTAATTTTGAGTGAGGTATTTTCAAAGACTTTACATTTGAAAAATCAAAAGTTACCATTCATTTAAAATAATATGTACATAAATATTTTTTAATCTGGCATTTTTTATTAAAAATTTTTTGAAAGTTTCACAGACATTTATTTATTTATTTAAGAAATCCAACGTTTCGGTTTTAAATACGTATTTTATTGATTGATTTTCATAAAATTCATGCTTTGGTGAAATATCAAACATGATCTTAAAATATGAACTTGAATGTCCTTTAAATTACCGCAATCGCTTGATAAAAACAATGCGACGTTTTGCACAGAATATATCTAATTGAAGCAATTTTAAGTAAACCTAATGAATATTGGCATTTGTGATTGAAAACATCAACAGTGATGTTAATTGGCATAATTGTCACAACATTTTTATATTACGCACATCTAAAACTTTCCTCATTTTCTTAGAATATTGATAATACATTTTTTTTGTCTACATCATGTGTATAGAAAGAAGCCAAATTTTTTTTTTTTTTTTTTTTTTTTTTAATTTAATCGACAGACATTTTAAAAGTAAACGCCACGGTCGAGCGCCGGCGTTTATAATAATATAAGTATATGTAACTTTTTGAAGCTACCTTTCAACATGTGTTTGCACGAAAAACAAACTAATTAACATCGTCAATCTGAACTTGAGTGGTACCACGTTTTTATTTTGCAAATCACTACACAGAAAATGTCTCTCTTTTTTTTTGTTATTAAGGCAACACGTTGGTTTAGTCTTGATAAAACGCGTGTACCTGCCTCTCACATTTCATAAATTTTTAATCAATATCTTTGTCGAGAAATTTTTTTTTTTTTTGTGTTTTTTAATTTTGATCATCGAAGGGGAAAGGCAATGCTGTTGCATTTAATTCTCATTTACGACTTTTTGTATTTTCCAAGCCAATTCATTTTTTTTTCAAGGCATTTTTTTTTGCCAAAGCTTTAAAATTATCATTTTATTACATGATCAAAATTTTATACAAATCAACTGCGTTTTTCGTCTACAATTTTTTTACGTACAATAGTCGTTATGTCCAGATTTCTTCGAAAACTACGTAGAGACGTACTCTCTAATTTTACTACAATAGTTTAGTTCTTTCTCACGATTTTTTACTCTTTCTTTACCGTAATTAACATATCTCATCGTGGAATCAAACAAAACGCAAGAAAATTCAAATCAGTCTTGTCCGTCAAAAACTCAATATTATTTAATCCTTAATTTCATAATATTTTTGTAATTTTTTTTTTTCCTTTACATTTCGGATTTCAAAAAAGCTGAAAAATTGATTAGTGATATTTATATAACATCTATACCGTAATGTAATGTTGAATTTATTTTTTTCTCCAATAATTTCCATCTCGTAACATTGTACATCATAACATTGAAATCGACAGACAAAATAGTTTAAATACTTCAAATATTCAAAGACTTCGTAAAGAATCGGTAACAATAATTGATACACATATCTAACTTACATTAAGTATATTAGGCCTGATTGTGTTATCATTAAAGTGCGAGCTACGATTCAAATTGATTGAACGTCTGATAAAAAATTTCAATCGATGCATCAAACGTTTGGCTAGTATGCAGGAACGATTGTAACAACAGATGTTTTATCGTTCTATTATCTTTATTTAAAATCTCATGATTAAAGTAATCTTTGCAATAAAGGTAAAAAGCGGTATTTCTCATGCTTGCACAAATTTTGAGTTTCCTGCAATAATTGTTTCAAATTACAAATATTTTCATTAAAATTATTAGAAAACCAATCGACTTGGGCAAAAATTTACGTCATATACGAACACTTTAAAAAATAGAAAAATTAACAAATTCTACATGTAAATATCGATACATTCATAGATTAAAACTCCAAATTGACATGAAAAGTTAAAAACGACAACGCTTCGACAAGACAACAACAAATTTCATACGATACAGTCGATACAACGTATTTTCATCAAGGTGGCGTATTTCATCAACTGTACTACAAAAAAAAAAAAAAAAAAATTCATTATTTACTCACAACTCTCGTGCGTTGGCCTTAAACACACAAAATGTTCGTTATTAGCATTGCCGTACTTAAACGATCTTTCATTTAATGTGCATTACGAACAACAAAGTTTATGGTACAAGAACTAAAATTGTAATAATTAACAGAATACTACATTAATAAATGTAATAAAAGTTTATGATGCCATATGACCACTCTTGATTTTTCATAACACCACGATCATTTAATCAAACACATTTATTAGGAATCCTCATTTTTAACACCACATATTTTTCAGTATCTTGATTTAATTTTTTTTTTTTTTTTACATGCACCACTTACAATTCAATAAACATACAATTATTTGTATGTAAGAAAAAAAATCAATTATCAAGTGGATTAGTGAACAATTTATTCACAATTTTATTAATTCGTTTTTTTTGCTTCGTCCTTTACAAGACTTCAAAAAAATTGCGTAACGTTTTTAAGTAGTCTAAAAAAATGCTGTGATATGATAAAAATTTGACTAGACACGAGAAAAGACAAAATATATATATAAGAGGAAGACTGATACCGAATGTAATCAATGTGATGTTGCGCAATTATTATTATTATTCATGTTGTCTTTAAACAACAACAACAACAACAACAACAACAGCTTGCCACGTTTGTCTGAGATTTTAAAATAATACAATCATATTAGATGTAAACAAAAAAATTTGTAAATAAGCAGAAGTAATGGGAAACTAAATTTTTAAATGTTTTTTTAATTCACTGATTCAGTAAATAGAAAAAAAAAGACTTGTGTACATTCACGTAAGAATCACAAACATAATATTTATACAAACTTTTTATTCGTAAATTATTTCGATGTAGCAAAAAAATCGATCTATTATAGATACATCGACAAGTATCAAATCATTAATGCTTAATACCATATGCGCATTTATATACACGTTAATTTTTAGGCAAATGTTTGAAACGTACGATAAATTTTCGCAAACACAAAATTAATATTATACATTATGTTTCAAACCTAATTATGTGCATTCAATGCAGAACGATGGCAGTATCAGTGAAATATTAACAAACCTTTTTTTTTTTTTGTAGTAGTTCTCTTGATTTTTTTCATAGAACTCTACTTTTTTTTAGTATTCATTCGTTTATTTAAGCCTCTTTAACTCTGATACTTTCACCAAATTACTGAATAAATAAGTTAAGGCTAAAGAGCTTGTATGCACGCTACAACTATAATTCCAAAAATATTAAATAGCTATTATGCATGCAAGACTTTATCTGGCTTAAAGTAGCCTATTTTCTTGAAAGTAAGTTTCAAATAAAAATTAATTGACAATATTAGTAAATGCTATTACTGGAATTATATACAATGAATAATGATATTCAACAACATTAATTTAACATTATAAATTAACCAAAAATATTTTACTTCCATTCCACGAATTCAATATATTTTTTAGTTTTGAACAATACAGACCGTAAAGTCAATTAGTTTTTGTACTGTGCACTTTAATATTGAATTAATTAGTATTTGTTCTTTTAGAGAAAATTTATTGTAAAACCTAAGCATATATATTTATAAATTGTTTTTCATAACAATCATTTTACAAATATCAACATAAATAATATTATTTAATTACTGTACATAGATTTACATAGGACAAATTTTTCTCTAAAAGAAAAACCTATCAAGTGTAAATTGACAAATCTATTTTATTTTGGCATGATCATGTCTCGTAATGTGTAGAAAATATATTTTGAGTATTTGAAAAAGTTTAACGTAACTATGGATTTTTTCTGTCATTCGATTTTGAAAGACTATTGAAGCATAAAACAACTATTCAAACATGTGGAGATCATAACTTTTTTAAATATCAAGAAATCTCTATAGATATTTGTCTTATGCTTTATGCTTATGATACTATCTTTACTTTATTGTATAATGACATAGGGCTATGGAAAATTGAAAACCGGCAAAACATAGTACACAATTGTGTTTCATTACTCAGTTCATTAAATCACAGATGATGCATGACAGCATCCGAAATTTATTTCTCAATATATACTACAAAATTAATATTTTTATCAAGTATTTTACAAATAAAAATATCAATTGTTTACATATTGAAGCGCGAATTTATTAAATAATTAAAAATCACCCAATTTTAGTGGACTTAATCGTTCACAGTCGCAGAAGGATAGTCGTTCCTCTCAGGCTTGTACTATTTATTTGACAATTTTATTTTCTACTTTTTTTTTTTTTTTTTCTTTTACTTTGACAGTGCACAGGTGTTGTTCCACGGGTGAATTATCATTCAATTTAATTACCTGCTTTGCGTTTCTTTCTGTCGTCCAAATATTTATTGTTGATGAATAAGAAATGCTTTCATTCCTTAAAACTTTTGAAATTGTGGTTATTTCAAAATTGTTATTAAATGGCATTCTCTTTGCGAGTTCTTTGGAAGAGTAAGGTCTCTTCAAAGATGTACTCTTTCAATATCTCTTTTGGAAGATCATCTAGTTCCATATCAAATTTAAATGGCTCCTCTGCCACAGGCTGGAAAGAAAATTACAAATTTAACATTACAGTGACCAATATTAGTTTTTTCGTTGTAAATAAATAAATATGTATATGTACTTCATCAGCGGGATCATAATACTGTTCCAAATACGGATGGGCCAATGCCTCTTCAACTTCAATACGTTGGTTAGGGTTAAAAGTTAACATTTTGTCTAACAAATCAAGTGCTTTAGGATCTGCATTGGGAAATAAACTGGTCCATGGAACCTTTGGTTTGTATGGTAAAGATTGTAAATAACTGCGCGCCTGAATTTGAAGATATCAGTTCATTAGTTAAAAGCAACTTTGAGGGAGTGATGTACGGAAAAGAAACGACCTATACCTTTTCGTTAATAATACAGTCAAGGTCCTCGGGGGAAGGTGAACCAAGAATACCAAGGATATGATTGAGTTGATCTAAATAATGTTTGCCTGGAAAAATAGCCCTTCTAGACAGCATTTCAGCAAGAATACAGCCTACCGACCAAATATCTATGGACTTTGTGTAGCCCTAAAAATGCAACGAGTTTTCAATTAGTATCGATTTTTATAATTTAATCATCAGTTGAGTTTAGACTAACCTTGGAATTCAACATAATTTCAGGTGCTCTGTACCACCTAGTGGCCACATATTCTGTGAGAAAACCAGCGTGATTATGATCAGGATCAGCTACTCTAGCCAGACCAAAATCACAAATTTTAAGGTCACATGTGGTGTTTAAAAGTAAATTACTAGGTTTGAGATCTCTGTGTAAAACATTTGCCGAGTGAATATACTTCAGTCCACGGAGGATTTGATACAGAAAATAACATATGTGATCATTTCCAATAGCCTGAAAATTACGTATAATTATTGTCTTCAATAATTATGTAAATGTAAATTGATCAAGTTTTCAGTAAACCATTTACCTGAGTTTTAAGTAGTTTATAAAGATCAGTTTCCATTAGACACTGAACAATATATACATCTTTCATCTGGTCTATTGTAGGAGCTCTCAATATATCCCTTATGTCTATGATCTGAAACAGTAAAAATTTTATGAGTAAAATAGAGAACTAATTATATTTTATGATTTACTGGCAAAAAATTAAAAATTTACATTTTCATGATTGAACCTTGTTAAGATTTTAATTTCTCTTAGTGTCCTTTGGCTGTAAGTTTGATGTTCGAATGGAGAAATCTTTTTGATGGCTACTTTTGTATTTGTAACATTGTCATATGCAGAGCTGAAAGAAGCCAACTCAGGTCAGTAAGTTTAAAACTGTGCGTTTGGTAAATAATTTATTAAGGTTTTCCTGGAAGTGGACATTAAAACACGCTTCAAGTTAATTACTTTGAAGGAAAAAAAGAAAATCATAAAAATAAATGTGCGGAATAAATGATCTGAAAAAGCGACGAACATTGGACGTAAAACGAGCTGAAAAAAGAAGTTAGATAAATGACCGTTTGTTTCGTGATCCCAAGGTAACGAAATAATTGTCAAACAAACAGAGCCCGAAACTTGCATCAACGTATTATTATCATTTCAAGGTAAGTATTTTACGAAAGAAAATTAAAGTAAGTATTAAGTAACTAAAATAAGACTGGGTATGATGTGAAAAGGTAAAAAAAGTAGGCTCGGCCTTTACACTCAATAAAATACGACCCAAGTACTTGCAGATGAAAAATAGAAAGGATGAATATTCATAACGAATGAGTCCAGAGTGTACTTTAAATGTAAACAAAAAAAAAACAAGCCCGAAACAGGGAAACATTGGATAGCAAAAAAAAAAAAAAAAAAACGGTCCACTTACACCACCATGCCGTAGGCACCCTCGCCCATGTAGGCAAGATTTGTATATCGAGGTCCGACCTCGAACACCTGGCCGCGCACAATTTCTGCGTTGGGCAGCGGACCAGCCGCCGCTGCACCATCAGCAGCTGCAGCTGCACCAGTTCCCGCCGAGGCCGTTTGGCTTGCCATTTTCAACTGATGCAGAGAAACAACAACGACGGGTACTATACACGACGACGACACACCTCTGTCTGCTGGTGGTGCCAACTTTGCACTACAAAGTACACTTACTTATAGCCAGGAAAGTCCAGCCAGGCCAGGAGAGTAGGGAGGGTGAAAAAAAGCGTTGGATGATGCTCCGATTACCCCAATTGCTCCGAAACAAAAAATATTTACCAGCGCGTTGTTGCGTTGCGCTACGATTATTTAGGTGATGGTGTCCACTGTCCAACCTACCGAGAGACGTTCACATCCAAGATAAACATGGCAGAGATGGCATCAGGAAGAAAGAGAGAGGGACGAAGGCTTGTAGAGACAGGGATCAAGAGATAGAAAGTCCCGCACCATATATCTGTATACACGTATATATATTTGCACTAACCACCCACGCACGCGCGTCCGACGACGATTCGACGATCACACCTCTCTACCTTTTTTTTTCTTTATATATATATACTTAATATCGTATTATCTGATTATCTTTTGTCCTCATATACCTGTGTCTACCCGCACTGATAGTGGCGATAGTAATAATATCTAATCCATGGATTACACTCTCGTATACTTACGCGTACACGCACACACGTATCACACAACTATCTCTGCGAGTATTTGTTTGTATAATAGGTAGAACGCAAAAGCAAGAGAACCACAATAATATTACGCATTTGCTTGTTTCTGCGCGTAATTAATAATTATTATCGAGATGAGACATCTATGAATTCATACGTGTACGCTTAGTAGGATATAGTCTCCGCAATATCTGCATCACTGTTCTAATTCTACGTAATAAAATGTGCGTGAAGTAGATAAATAGGTATACTGTGCGCGTTACTGCAATGTCGTATGTCGTTCGCTCGCCACCCCAAGTCCAAGGTCTGACTGACACTTGCTGCTCCGAAACTCCGAAAAACATACACTTCTGCGAGGGTGAAGGGTGAAGGGAAAAGAGGGAGCACCGTTTTTTTTTTTTTTTTTCTCGGAGTGAGAGCTCAGAGCTTCAGAGCTGTTCGCGCGCGCGTGCGCAACTATTATACATCACATCTGCAACCTGCAACAGAGCAGAAGCCGGAGGAAATAATTTACGCCTCTGACGAAGGTCTCCTCTCTAAAAGCAGTCTAAAAGCATTGTTGTACCTATACCTACTATGGCTCTATGCTCCGTTATACCTATTCTCTTCCAATATCCAATCCTCAAGTAATGCTTATTGCTCTCCACCCGCGCCGCATATACTCTACACGCGACAGCGACGATATTTTGTTTCACTTCAAGGATACCTAAGGGGGTTTTTTTTATCAGGGACGCCGCGCCGTTATGAGTATTATGCTCTCATGGGTAAAGTATATTTTTTTAATTGCGTCGAATGATATGCAACTGCTTAAGTTAATGACAAACAGAGTAAGGACTTTCACGGGATGAAGTTAAATAAATTACACGCAAAAGTTGATCCACGTTTTTGAGTGGTTATTAATTTAATCGTACTATTATTTAAAAAATTGGAGCTTTTTTTTTACACAGCACAGATCCAAATTCGTTAGTTTGCGCACTTTCTCAAAACCCGACATGTACTTACTTATAGTGCACGTAAAGTGGCACATCTCATTTATTTTTTTAATCAAGAGGCGCGGTCACGTTTCAAGGCTTTTTAGCTCGTCGTTGTCCTTGTAAAACAGTTGTTCTCTCTTTACCGTTACATTAAGCGAACGTTTGAAATTGTAGGAAGTTAAATAAATTGCTCCAACGAAATTGCAAAAACACAACTTCAAAAATATATACAAGCTGCTAAAACTTGTAGAAATCCATTTTTTCAATTTCAATTTTCAGTTCCTAATAAATATACCTAGAATAATATGAGAAGTTAGCTGCGTAGATACTACAGGCGAATATGTATACAACATACATATAACAATGTATATAATATGTTTGCACAAAATATACCTAAGTACCTTCACGGGTGTTTCGAGCCGCATATCTAATCTATAATTATCTGGCAGCGTCACCAGCAAAGTATATACTATATACTTAAGTATGTAACATACATATACATATACTGGCAGTTAAAGTAAATACTGCACGCGCAGATGATTCGAACGAGGCGCGTGATGAAGACAAAACGCAAAAGAGGCGACGTTTCGTAGTGCGGACTGTACCTGTACTTGTCATCCGATCTGCTTGGAGTTGTCTGAAAAAAAAATCTTACACGTAAATGCGGGACCATTAAGATGATGTATTAAGTATATAGCTATATATACGCAAAAGTGCACGAGGGCTTTGTGCGTTTTTTTTTACATCATTGTATATTCCTCCTCGAAAAGTTTCGTCTTTTTACACACGCGCTCACGTACTTGAATCACTTGTTCAACGGTCTCTCAGCAAAATTGAATTGAGCGATCGATGCAACGTAATCGTTGAACCATCGCTGTTGATCGAAATAAAATAATAACAGATGATTCAAGCGCGTCTGCGTTCAAACGTACACTATTTACTGGGGTTACTCACTCGCACGAGGGATATATTATGTTACAGTGAATATATTTATAGTGACGATGATGCATTTTCCAAGTATAACAACGTCTCGTGTAATCATCCACTAGATCCCGAGCTCTCTGTTTTTTCCTTTTTTTTCCTCGAAGCTTTACCTCGTTATCGTCCAAGTCTTCATTTTCAGGTGCGCCCTGTCTGATAAGAGAGCAAGAGAGTAATGTATAAGCCAAATGATGACCTTGTGCCATCAAGGCAATTTCGAAAGCACAATTGTTGCGTCGCGCCACCGACGAAGCTTACACATACTCTGTTTTCATTTTCAATCAATTTTTCAAATCCTTAGCGCGCATGCCCGAGAAGTGTTTAGTTCGCTTGTTCGCCACGGCCCCAAGTCCTGGCGCTAGCGGCTGGAAAAAGAGCAGACGACTTTTACGCTTATACCTATATATACGGTTGTTGTTAGTGCAGTTTGCTCTGTTGTTTTGACATTTTTGAAAGATTTTTCTCGTAGGTACTTGATTTTTCTTGGATGCTGAACTAATTTAACGATCAAAGATGTGAGAATTCAGTGCTCTCGCCTGCGGCAGAAAACCGAAGACGTGACCGTCACAGTACCGCCACCTGAACTGACGCCCTGTGGCCAGAGTTAATGCGCGCTAAGCGGCAAATTCAAATGTGCTAAAACCAAATAACTAAATCCCAAGCTTTTTAACCTAATAACTCAGTACCCAAAACCTCTTAAACCAAATAACCCTATACTTCAGATAAATAAAACCTAACAATATTTTAAATACACGCTCAACTTATAACTGTATACATAAATCATACTCATCAGATTGCAAAATCTTTAAAATAAAGATCCAAACGACTTGCAACACATAAATATAATGAGAAAAAACTACTAAATAACCCAGGGAGCTTGATATCCAATTTATTTAATGATAAAAATATAACATATAACTACAGCGCATTCCCCCATATGACCCAAGGCACTTACTAGCCAGTTTATTAACAAATTAAAAATAAATTAACAGCCCAAGCGCCTATCACCAGATGACCCGGGGCTGGTTAATAAAATGAAAAATGCTACAATAGTACGGCATTTAATGTGTAGCAAAGTAATTACTTGGCACTTAATAGTATCTTAATTGTATGATACAAAAAAAACCAACAAATAACTAGTGGTATGTATAAGTAACCTAACGTACTAATTGGCCAACTACTGCAATAATAATAATTATAAAATATTATAAAGGCATACTCCGATGTGACTTAGAACATTTAAGAGCAATTTTGAGTTAACAAAAAATAGAACGGAACTTATGCTAATCCGGAAACTAAGGACGTTATACAGCTTGTTGTTGATTTTTAAGCAATTTATTCATACCATCAGAGCCAGAAATTTGATTCTTTTCGTTTCTTAACAAGCACTTGTGTCGATAATTATTAATCAGACGATTTGTAAACTAAAAAGCAAGTATTTGAGGTTATCTGGGGATATAGGCACTCAGTTTATGATAAGCCAACTTGGCCAGTAAAAGCTACCCAGGTGATCTAGTGATCGGCGCTTGGGCTCTTAATTTATATTTAATTTGTTAAAAAACTGGCCAGTAAGCGCCCTGAGTCACCTGGTGATAGGCGCTCAGTTTATTATTAAACAAAAGGGCCAGTAAGCGCCCCGGGTCATCTGGTGATAGACGCTTGGGCTGTTAATTTATTTTTAATTTGTTAATAAACTGGCCAGTAAGTGCCTTGGGTCATATGGGGGAATGCGCTGTAGTTATATGTTATATTTTTATCATTAAATAAATTGGATATCAAGCTCCCTGGGTTATTTAGTAGTTTTTTCTCATTATATTTATGTGTTGCAAGTCGTATGGATCTTTATTTTAAAGATTTTGCAATCTGATGAGTATGATTTATGTATACAGTTATAAGTTGAGCGTGTATTTAAAATATTGTTAGGTTTTATTTATCTGAAGTATAGGGTTATTTGGTTTAAGAGGTTTTGGGTACTGAGTTATTAGGTTAAAAAGCTTGGGATTTAGTTAGTTGGTTTTAGCACATTTGAATTTGCCGCTTAGCGCGCATTAACTCTGGCCGCAGAGCGACAGTTCAGGTGGCGGTACTGTCACGCAATCTGCGAACTTTACTTTACGTGGACATACTTCATTTGAAAAAGTAGCGTTTTTTTTTTAAATTTCTCACCTTATATCCACGTAATTACGTGGATTTGGTGCGAATAGACACAGCGAAAAATGAATGCACCGCCAACCTTCGAATCATTTTTGTTGTACGAGGGAGAAAAGAAGTGAGTACCGCTTTATGCGAGAATTTTAACCTGTACATGTATACTTAATTTCGTTTGAAATTTTGTTTCTTAATGACTTTAAGAAGATTCATTTGTATTGAATAGTAAGAAGTTTTTCATGCATTTGATTACTTGTATGTTTACTTGTTTGCCTTGTGTTTGAATAGTTTAGCATATGGAGAAAACGAATTTTTTAAGGTTATATTATCTGTAATGTATGCATTGTTTTTCATGATATTCAATGGATTTTCAGAATAATCAAGGAACAAGACACAAAAGTTCCCAATGCTGCGATATTCACGGTCAACAAAGAAGATCACACCCTTGGAAATATGATCAGAAAGTGAGTTTACACTTCCAAAAACAATCATCTTAATAGGACACAGGATGATATGACACCATTTTTTTTGTTTTAGTCAACTTTTGAAGGATCCACAAGTTTTATTTGCAGGTTATAAAATACCTCATCCTCTGGAGCATAAATTTGTCATCAGAATTCAGACTACTTCTGATTATACCCCACATGAGGCTTTCATGCATGCCATCACAGATCTCATTGCTGAGTTGTCGCTGTTTGAGGAGAGGTTTAAGGTATCTATTGTAAATTTTAACTTTTTATCCGTCTGTGATTGAATATTGTAATCATGTTTCATTTCTTGTATTTACAGGAGGCAATAAAAGAGAAAAAAGAAGGTTTAGATTAAGATTAAATTATTTTTAAATTGATAATGTAAATAACAAGATAATTATAAGGATTAAGTGCTACTCGAATACATACAATTTTCAAAAATGAAAAAGCGTAAAATTTTTTAAATTTCGTTGTGCCTTTATGGTTGTTCTCAAAATTCTACGTTCTATTTGTTGTTTAAAATTGATTTTTCCCTCATTAATTACATTCATTAATTGCGCTATACTACTCTCCATGTAGAAATGTTTTAATAACTAAGAAATAAACAAGGAATGTATAAAACAGGTTTTACAGAAGTAAAAAAAAAAAAAAAAAAAATAAGGCGTGAGCGCAATTCTGCGAATATTATTTTATTTAATAGCAAATTAGTACTTCGTTCAACACGCCTCAAAAAAGATGGTAAAATTTTTCCGGTGGATTGTAAATTCGTATCCAAAATACACATTCTCAATTTAGAATCAGTTCGTGTAATATTAATGATTAGATTACATCGTAGTCCCCCTCTCAAAAAAAAAAAACTTATCTACTACTGCTAACGCTTCTATTTCCTTTCTGACCGCGCAAGCTTTCTTCGTGGCTCTAATTACTTATGGTACTGTCTTATAAGTGAATTGACTGCGCTTCGTACACTTTCTTTAGTGCTGGACTGCTGCCTTATTCGTATCGCTTATTTGTGCAACCATATACACGTGTACGTGGCACATACAGTAAAATATACAGTGTACAAAGAGTACTGGGTGATACACATTTTCAGGTATGTATTGCAGCTCAGATTCCGCACATTCAAATCAAAGTAAAATCAATTAATGCATAAAGTTATAATGCTGAAAACGCGTTAGTATAATAAATAACCAATAATCAATATTATAATATTATATCATCCCACGGTCGTGGTAGCACAGTCAATCAGTGATGAACCGGGAAAAACTATTCGCCCCCAATTTTTTGTGCTTTCTTGTTCAAAATGTAGTTCATATCTTGCCACCAAAGAATGTGGTCAGTTATCGTTTAAACAATATTTTTACAAATAATTTCCTCAAAGTTGTTTTTTTTATTTGAAAAAAAAAAATATTTTCAGATTCTTTGGAACAAAAAACCAACTGTTTAAACAATACCTGACCCTATTCCTGGGTGGGAAGGTACGAACTACATTTTGAACAAGCACAAAAAATTGGGGGTGAACAATTGTTTCCGGTTCACCACTGATTGAGCCCAGTTCATTAGACCGCAGCGTATATCGTGTATAGCTCGAGGGCTTCTTCACACGCGCCCACCCAAGTCTATAGATCCAATTATAATCCAATTATAATTGGCTCGCACCACGGCAAAACTAATCTCTCAGATGCGTGTTTTTAACCGAGATCGTGAAATATAAAAAAAAATGTACTCATCGTCTATAAGTTTCAATGAGCTATACATAATTCACATAATTTATTATTACTTTTTTTTTTTTTTTTTTTTTTTTTCAAATTATTTTATAAAATTACATTTAGGAGAAAAAGAAAAAAAAAATTGTTATCTCACGAGAACAGCGATTAAATTGTATTCCCAATCTCAAATATGCACTTAATTAACTTTCAACATCAATTATAAAACATGATCATGAAACTTAGAAAAAATATATATATGCATATGCATGTTATCATTTATGAGTTTCAATTAGCTGTAATATTTTTTCTTTCCAATCACTATTTTATGGTCGTAGTTTCATTTAGGACAAAAAGAAAAGAAAAAAAATTGGTATACATCTCACGATAGCAGTGATAAAATATTACTCCCAGTCTCAAATCTGGACCCGATTTATTTTTAATACCAATCACCAGAGTCATTCACCAAAACTATTTCCACCTGGACAGGAAAATGCTGCTCAAGTACGGGGTGGCGTTAACCACCCTCTGCGCCCTGAGCTTGGCCCTGAAGAAGCGCGTCGACGTTCCCTTCGAGTGGAGGGACGGCATAAACTACACTTGGCCCTCCTACGAGGCGTACCAACGAGCGGTCGAGAACAATTTGTACGTCAAAGGGAACAACAGATTGATCAACGCCAGATTTTGGAAGGAAAACATCTACCTGACGATACCCCGCGTCAACATGGGCGTGCCAGTTACGCTGGCCGTAACCCAGGTCTCCCCGATGAACCGGACCACCAAAGCACCGTTGCTCGAGCCGTACCCAAACTGGGAGATGCAGAAGGAGGACGCCAACTGCTCGGGCTTACAGCTCGTCTGGGCCATTGAAATCGACCCCACGGGCAGATTGTGGGTGCTGGACAGCGGTCGTTTCGACTGGACGACGAAGAAGGTCCGGTGTCCGGCTCGTTTGGTCATCCTTGACCTCGAGGCTGGGGGTAAGGTAGTCACGAGCCACGTATTCCCGACAAACGTAGCCGACCCCGGTAACATCTTGCTCAGTCAAATCGTGCTGGACCACGAAAACGGTGGACTTGCCTACATCAGCGGAGTCGACAACACCGGTGTGATCGTCTTCTCGTTGCAAAACCTCACCTCGTGGAGGCTCGACTTCGGTTCGAGTATCTACTGTCTGTTGCTGTCACCAGCCGACACCGAAGGAGCCGATCGCGTTCTGTACTACACGACAATTTACCCGTCCAAAGTATTCCAGGTGCCCACCCGCGTGCTCCTGGACAAGAGTTTGACCTCGAAGATGAGGCAGCTGGAGAGCGAGGAGTTGGGCTTCACGCCACTTTTGGACCGCATGGTCGGGATGACGATGTCGAACAAGGGCACGATGTTTCTCGTCTCGAGGTCAGACGATGGAGATGGGATTTTGCTCCACAAGTGGGAATCGTCCAAGAGCCAGTACTTTGATACAACGGCCAAAACGTTCGGTTGGCCAAAGATACATGTAACTTTTCCGACTCGTACTCCGGCTTTCGATGAGAATGGCGATTTGTGGATCATCGACAACTTTCGCTCCAACAATCGAGGCATCACGTTTTTGAAGATCGGCATGAAAAATTATCAGTACTACAAGAACGGCACTGTGCCAAAGTTGTGGAACCGAAACCATCCTGGTTCCTTTTAGTTTCTTTTTATTCGTGACGAAATTGCTTGGTATTTTTCGTTACGGATTTCCAACTGATTGCGTCGTTCGTTCCACGTCGTTTCCTCATGACGATCTGTTTGAAATACCTACAATTGGACGTTATTTACTCGACTCTGTTGTGAAAATCAATAAATACTTTCTACCAAACACAAAACCATCCTGATTCGTTTTATTTTACTTTACCTTCGACTACGAATATAATCGAACGCCAATTTTTAATTCGTATACGCTTCTGTCTTGTCGTAAGACGTTAGTAATTAAGTCTTTAATCTTTATGAGGAAGAACTCGATGATACACCTGTACTGTTGCTGTCAAGTCTGCTGGGTGATTGTCCAAATGTGAGCAGATAAAAGATTAATTCGTAACGAAGCCGGAGAAATTAAGAAAAATACTTTTACTAGCAGATACGTGCAATACATTGTAATTAAACGTACACTATTTCAAATACCTTGACACGTTCATTCCGTCTAAATTATTTTTCAAATTGCAATGGATCATTACTACTAGAAAATTTGTGTAGGTACTATGTTACAAGGAGTAATTATTATAAATCGCGCATTATTATTTTTCAAAAAATTAAAAAAAAAAGCATTAATAACGCCCTAGTCTAATAATGATGAGCTAAATGTAAGAAAATATAGTTTCTTGTCAATACTACCTAGTATAGTTTTATATTTTTCAAAGAAAGACGTTTAATCCGAGAAAACGAATTTTCCAGCCGTTTGCCTATGCTACAAAGAAAAAAGATCTGTTGCGCAAAATCGTTTGAGAAAAAAAGCTCAACAATTCAGATTAATTAGTAAAAAAGAATTTAAACGCTTTGTTGATCCGATCGCCCGTTACTTTATTTTTACAACTGTAAGCCTCGAGTGTTATTTTCCATGTAGTGTTCATCCAATTGTAATTAAAAAGGCCATTTTAGCCCTTCGCAAGCACCATAAGAGTCAAGCTTCGAAAACAATCTCGGCTCGCGTCATCCTTCGAAAATGGCCCCTTCCAAATACCTCCTCGGGTGAGGAGAGCAAACAAAAAACACCCCACCCCCGTCCCTCCGGCACCGTACAGCGGAGCCGTGAACTTTTGACTGATTTATGCACGCGCCGCACCTGCGTATCCTCACCGAAAATCCTCCAAAGGCGACACGAACACGCGCATGACTTTTATACACGCGGACGGACGCGGATGTATAAATTTATCAGCGCGCGATCGCGAAATCGAATCAGGTGCCACACGAACGAGTCCATCGGAATAGTTTCACCACAGTGCCTATACATAACATACGTGAGCAACTGTCCGAAGTGGTATCTGCATCTGAAAAATGTTTGAGCGCAAGAACCAGAGGAGAGAGAGAGACAACATATATATATATATATAAGGTATAGCGCATACGAGGCGAGCGAGTGAGGTATGGCCGATGAGCGATATATCCCCGTATTGCCGACTGGCTTTTCTCCACGCGTGTGTCCTGTGGAGTCGTAGGGGCCGACTTTCCCTGCAGGAATCTCTTTTTCTCCTCTTGGCATGACGTGAGTGTATGTGTTTTTTTTTAAAAGATATACAATGGTATACTGCAAAGCCAGAGCCTATATAATTTTACGGTCCGATTTGCATGAACAAGCCTAAGACATCCTTGTAAAATTGTAATGGAGAAGCGCGTGTTTCCGAAGCTTACATTTTTACCAGTAGTACGAGTCAACGTCAGGTCAGACGCGCCGTAGTGCACGTGTGTATACTTGTGTTCGGTGGTTTCGGGACACCGATGGTCGAAGTAACATTTATGCCAAGGGGGCGTGTTCCGCCCTAAACTTTGCAAAAGTGGGGCGCGCGCGATATATATATATATATATAAGAGGGGGGAGGGGGGTGGCCGCAAAAACTTGTTTTTACCCGATCGCTCGGCGGGTGAAATATTTTTGGGTAAACAATACTCGTCCGTCGAAGCTGGGTGCCAAAAATCCTCGGGAGCGAGAAAAACAGTTTTTTCATTTTCCTCGCGGAGCATGTACCCGCCTCCCCGAGGTAAGCATCTCTTCATCTTTCGACTCTTGAATTTTTCCCTCCCTCGACATCATAACTTGAAAATACTACATGTATGCGTTTGAAACCCGGAGATTCCTCGATAATCCCGTCTCATCCTCGAACGAGGGGAGATTCAATTAATTAAAGACGCCAAGGAAGGTAAAGGGGGGGTGGCGGGGGTAGAAGTCGAGCTGCATTCGCGAGTATCGATCGCACCGGTATCGCGCAGCAATCTCTCAATTAACGATCCGTGTTTTTACCTTCCACCCGTATATGTATTAACTTTGCCCACTATTAATTTCCAGCGCTGATTAAATTTCTCGAAATGAGTATAAAAAAAAAAAAAAAAAAAAAAAAAAAAAAAAAAAAAAAAAAAAAAAAAATCCGTACCTGCTCGGCACGGAGACAAACACCGAGTTTCCGAGTATTTTAATCATCAAGTTTGAAGCAGCGGGCTAAGAAGGCTTAAGAACTTGGCTCGGCGACCTCGTGAGATTGAGCGAACCAAAGTTGCGCTCGTGCATGTGTATGCACTTGATTACCTTTGCGCGTAAAAGCCACACATTATACCGAAAACAAACCACGTACACGCCTGTTTGACCAATGTTGACTCTCACCCGCGAGAGAGCAAAGTGGGCTTTCACCGAGAATGGATCGGTGCGCGGAAGTTGGTGGATTTGTACGCATATATGTATACACATATATACATAGCTGATCCGATGAATTTATTTTGTCAAGGAAATGATGGAAGGGGATGAGGATGTGCACGCTGCTGGGCGAAAATCGGGTTTCCGGAACGGGTTCGCCTGTCGATCGCTGACTGGGATCAAGTTAGGGGAACACGAAAATGCACTCGTATATTTTCACCTATCCGATTTTTCGTGATATTTATGAGAACTTTCGCGTGGTTTACTTTCGGGATATCAGGATAAAAATACGTACCACCGGATAATATGATAGTGTCGGCTTTATATATGTATAAGCATACATATATTTTTCACCAGTGACGTTGATAGAAGTTTTAAAGGCGCGCCATTAAAGCTCTCAAATTGAGTGGCTGCCCATTGTTATTATTACTATCAAGCAATTGGCTTTGTAAAAAAAANTCGGTATAGTGTTCACGAAATGATGAATCTGTGCAAAAATACTTTAAACGAGGGGGAAATGAAGATAAATAGCACGTCTTTCGCGGTTTTCCTGCCTCTCTTTTTGCCGAGCAGTATAAGTATAAATGAGGGATTTTGCAAAGAAAAAAAAAAAAAAAAAAAAAAAAAAAAATTTTGTGGCGTTGGATAAACCACCCGGGGGGGGGATTTTTACTATCAAGCAATTGGCTTTTTAAAAAAAAAAAAAAAAAAAAAAAAAAAATAATTATACCTAGCGAAAAATTCAGTCGACAATCATCATCGATACATCGCAAATAAAGAAATACGTGCATTGAAATCCACTCAAAGGAGGTAGTCGTGGTGTCACCAGCCAACGCAAGCCGTGGATGTATATTTATTCACGAGCACTTTCATAGATGCCGATGGGTTTTCCTTTTCTCGTCGCTTCTACCGGTATATGTGTACGTCTGCATATAATATATACGTGGCTGCTCATTTTTCCATCCCAGATTGTCCCACGCGGATTCCCACTCGTCTCTTTCGCTTTGTACATGCGCTATGCCGTTGAGCTTCCGTGCTTTCTTTCTTCCTTCCCGCAATGGTACATTCTTTCCCTCTTACGCGCGTATACCTTTACTTTGCGCGTACGTAAACAAATTTAAATTTTTTAGTCCATTTTACAAAGTGTCGATCTCGGGTGGTTTCGTACTTAAATTTCGCACGGATTCAAGGGTCGTGCGATCACTTGCTCCTTTGAAAAGAACACCCTCTATATCTCTTCCTATCCACGGATCATGCATTTTGACACACGTTCAACTGCGCGTACGTGGAGGCTTTTCTTTGTCCTCGCAACTGCTGTGTCAGACAATTTCCCGTTAACAAAAGCTCTGACATTCCATGTATATCCATATATATATATATATATATATATATGTATATATATACAGAGAGAGAGAGAGGCTCGAGCGCGCGGAAGCATCTATAGCCGAGGAATCCAATTTAATAATAGTTTTCCCTCGCAGCAGGACCTCCCCTTCCATTGTGCCTATACATACACTATATACCTGTGGGCTGCACAATTCAAAGGGGAAGGAACCTACAGGCCGAATGTGGTACACACATGTATACATATGTATCTATACCGTAGTTTATGCATACGGCGGTTTAGTACGGACGATATATTGTATGGAAAGAGGAAGTTTTAGCTTTGCACATTGTACAAAACAACATTTGAGCAATCAAAAGACAATACGTTTCGAGCAATTTTTAACAAAGGGAGAAAACCACCCAACAAACAAACAAAAAAAAAAACTTTTCTCTTTCTTGCCCTCACCCCCCCCCACCCCCACCCCCAACTGTTACTGCGTTATATAGATACGTAAGCTGTATCTTTTAGATTATACGTGTATGTATGTATGTATACACGTCTGTTGTAGAGAAAGGCGAAGCGTCAGCAAGGCCGTCGTAGTTCTCGGGCCTCGGAGAGTGACATTTAATGGGAGAAGGCGACAGATGTCGCGTCGCGCTAATTTAAATCCCATCACGAGCCACACCCTTCCCTCCCCACCGTGTTCACCTCTTTTTCTCGCCACTGCATCTACACCCACACCCGTACACATCAACTCCTCAAGCGACACACACATATATTGAGTAGACTCTACGTCTCCATTGACTTTAATCGGAAAATAATGCCTCGATTACTACACGTACCCTCTCGTATGTACATGTTATAATGGATGAAGTATGGTGCCCCTCCCCCCCCCCCGCGCCGTCGGCTGAATTAATTTTTAATTACGGCTCTCTATGAGCGGAAGTTCCGAGAGTCCCAGTACGCGTGTTATATACACGTGAAA